CTCTGGCTGCTTCTGACACTGCTAGGAAATTTCATTCTTCCTTTGTGAGGCCATACACCAAAGGTCAATGGGAAAAAAAACATGAAACTTGTGGCAGGTAATGTGTTTCACAACTGCAAGGGACAACTGTATCTAGCTTTATTATTCTCTTTTCAAAAGAAAAGTGATACATTTTTTAAAAAATTAATCAACTACAACTTTCTCTTTAGTCTTATTTCCAATTTATTCCAGAAAAGACATTGTTTAAAACTAAGTTGAAGAAAAACCAATCACCCATTAACCCAACTTTGAACTTTACCTTAAGAATGACATTGACAGTGGAAGTCTTAGATCTTAATGCAGGCAGTGACAATGAAATTGCTTCCTCATTGTTTTTAATGTAACATTATTTAAGATATTTAATGCTGTTTGTATATTCTAGTGTTGCCTCTTGAAAACCAATTTTGCAGATATTAATGGAGCTTCATTTAAAAATTTCCATAGTCTTACTCTCTCCTAGAAACTCTTGACCAATGATTTGGTAGATACACGGTAACATGCAGATATTTTACAGTGTATGAGTTGCATAGTCCTTTTTTAAACCCCACAAAAACAAAAACACAAAGATACAGGTTGCTGTCATTCTAGACCATGGTCACAAATTTATACTGAAAAAAAACTTGCATGGCCATAGATACGTATTGTCTTGATTTGCCTCACTTAATGTGAACTTCTAAAACTTGTACAGGCAAAGTTGCTGAGGTGCTTTTGAAATTATTCCAGGATGTTGCTCAAAATATTGGAAAGTCTAAGAAGGTAAGTATCTGCATCATTTTGTAACTCTACACATAAATCTTCTTGTTTGAATTGAATAGATGAAAGCGAAGCTATTTAGATTTCAACGGATAAGCCGCATAAATGTCACCTCATCAATACCTAAGCCAACACTGTCAAGCACACAGGTGAAGAAAATGGATGATGAAAGCTCACCTTAAAGAAGCAGCAAACTAACAAGGCTAACTCTCAATATTACAAAATAAAAGAAGTGAAAAAATTATTATTAACAGTTCATATTTTATCCTTCAGCTAAAAAAAACATGGCAAACCTAATGAAAATGTGATAAAGTTAAATAAAATTAATACTGTTCTACTATGAAGATTAATGGAGGAATCATTAAAGCTTGACTATCACTGTCTTATTCTTAATATTCCTTAAAACTATCTTCTGTGTTTGACAGAAACATTTAAGTTACACAGGTTACAGACAACCCTTCCAGTCAAAGTCAAAACAAAAGACAAAAATTCCATCTTCAAACATTCAATGAAATTGTTGATACAAAGTCTCTTCCTCTTTCGTACAAACATCTGGATAGCAACCCACAGTATCCAAATCCAGCCATTTTATGCGACTACAGCAACTGTGCTGTAACTCAAGACACTGACCAATTTGTAAGACTAGCTTGCTGCCACACTTTCCACCAAGAATGTTACCTTCGAAATAACTCTAACTGTCCAATCTGTACTAAGCCTCTGTTAAAGAAAGTAGCCATGCTGGCTGATACTTTTAATCTCAGTTTACTAACACCTACTAAATCGTCGTCATCAACTACCAATGCAGAAACATCCAACTTATCCTCTGAAGAGCCTGACACAGAATTAACTCCTAACAATTCAAGACAACCTATTTTCTATGAATCCGATGAAAGGGAACAGTTTGTAGATCATGCTTTAGCTAATGTCACTGTCCCACAACCTCCAAGTTTAAGAGTACAAGGACAACAACAAGAATGTCAACAGCAACATCCAAAGCAACCACACTGCCAAGACCAAGGAGTCAATCACCAAGCGCAACAAGCAAATCAAAACATCAACATCACATCAGTGAACAGTGCAGGCAGCAAATTCCTTTTTTTTCCACAGTCTGTTTCGCAGGCTACTATGAATGGCAGGAGGGGGTCAAACGCTTGCACTTTCATTGCATTGTACTTGGCAAAAAGTTATCATGCCAACATAGGACACCTACCACCCCCAACACAAATTTCACCTGTGTGGGCTGCTGTTGTGATGTCCTGCATCATTCAGGGAAATTCCACACATGACACTTTAACTGGGGGAAGAGCAATTAATTTTGCTGTGGATGATGCAGTCCAACACCTTAGACAAAACTTGGGACAAATTCAAATGGAAGATTCGTTTGACATCACATTAACCAGTGAAGATATAAATGTACCCCAGTCATCAGCAGCATTTTACCTCCAACGTTTAACTCAAGAAGCTAATCTATCTGCAATTCTTATCATCACCGATATGACAATTTGTTTTGTTGCACATGGAGCAAATATTGTGATGTTCGACAGCCACTTGCATGGTAATTTTGGAGCTCTTATTGCCAGTACAACTGTTGAAAACACCGAGAATTTCTTGAAGGCAGTGAAAGCGATGATAAGCCCAAACTACAACATGTGCTCCTTAACATTTGTTAAGTTTGCTTAATTTTCAATAAGCTTACATGTAAGTTTAAGTTTTAAGTTTTCCGGGATTTAAAACATAGGCTCATTTGATGAAATCAGAAATGACATTAATAACTATTTTCGTCAGATTTTGTTTGTTCTTATTACAGACCTTAACTCTTTGCGAGAAAATGTGAGTTTATTTGATGTAAGAAGTTAGAAGAAGCTTTCATCTGTCATGAAAGAGAACCATGAAATGTACGAGTTCATCAACGAGAGCAACCAAACAATGTTGTATTTTGCAGAACAAGCCAGAACCTAAAGTGTATGGTCAGTATTCAATGAAATAACCAAGTGTTCATTAAAGCATGTGTTAGTGTATTCTATAATACAAACTTAAGGTTAGATTTTTCAGCCAACACGATTTGCATCCACTGCGCGCCGCGTCATGATCATTGATCAACAAAATTTTTATACAACCGACAGTCCGGGAATTAAGACAAATGCATATTTACTCATACTTACAATTCATGTTATAAGTTCCTCTTCTTCGTCCCTTTCATCACCAACGAACTTCATTGAAGTAAAAAGAAAATTTCGCTTCTACCTCACAAGAAGGCACTGCCGTCGACACAGCCACATGCAGGTTTTTTGAATCGAACGAAGTGATCCCCGCGCAATTTCTCGCGCATGCTCAGACGTTTGACCGCGGTGTGACAGTCACCCCTTCCCCCAGGAAAAATAGGCCTTGGCAGCTCAGTTGATTCTTGTTCATAAATAAATAGAACTGAATTGAACGGCACTCGCTCACAGATTTTCGAGCAAAAACAGAAACTGCACGCAGCAGTCTAGTTTGAGCTTTGATAAACATGTTGAATTGTTTCCGCTTTTTCTAAGAATAGTGATCCCGCTTCGCCCAAACTATCCCAATTTTCCGGGCAAAGCATTTCCATAAATTACAAGGATACACTTCATTCTTGCCCGTGGTCAGTCTCTGGTAGCCGGATTTAAACCTTTGAAGGTATGTAAAAGATGTAGACACAGTATCTATGTTTTAGAAGAGTTAAGTAATGAAGTGTTTGTGTAAATCTCCTGCTTGACTGATTTAAGGGCACTTAAGCGTGCCTAGTCCACCAAGATCCTGTTTCTAACTGAACACTGACTGAAACGCAAGGAATTGGGCGTCTGCATCTTGATATCTGTGAGTTTATATTGCCGGAGCTTTGTTAGCTCTCATTGAGTCAGACTGAAAGTGATGCGCACGTTCAAATTGTGCAAAGGATCCCAGGAACGTCTTTAAAACTATTTTAGAAGAATGCATTTCCACCTCAAAATCAAGCGATACTAAGTGCCTTTTTAAAATTTGCTACAAGCATTCCGCCATCTTGCATGGCAACTTGACCTGGCCAGTTTCTCCTCATATGTAATAATTTAGAAGGAATTTTTCGTTGTGTAAAGATCAAAGAAGTCAGACAGACCAGGCAAATTGACGAAACGAAGAGTTTGTTAGGATCGAAGAGTCGCACGTCTTATGCAACAAAGCATTTCTGGCCAGAGGCGGCGGAACGTTTTGAAACGTGAGGCTCATCTTCGACTCAGCTATACGCATTGACCCCTCAGATGTTCCAAAATGCCCTTTAATTTTGTGTTGTTCGTTGGCACAAGCAAACCTCTTTGCAATCTTCACTGTGTCTAGTGTGTCCGTAATCGATTTGTGACAATGCAGCAGTAGGCAGTTGTTCAGGCGGTCCTGCTTCATGGTGCTTCTCAGGTAGTTCTTGAGTCGTCTGAGGGCAGAAAATGTGCGCTGTAAAGCCGCCTATGTCAAAGGTATTGTCAAATTCATCTTTAAGCGGGTTTTTTGGGAACCAAACGGTGTGGGGCGGGGGAGGGCTCTGCTCTAACTTTTTGCTCCTGCCCCCCCCCTTCCATGCTACGCTGCATATGTTTCTGGCCGATAAATGTGGAGAGACGTTTGATTTGGTTGTTTTTTTTTATATTAAATTTTGCTGGAAACCGGCGACTTGCTTTGTTGCAAGGATGTTGAATGTTATGTTTCTACATTCATGCACGATTTACATATTAGCACTTTTACAGACTTGTCTGACCTACGTTTGTTGTGGAACTCTTTTAATTTACATAGGTAAACACAAGATTTAGAGCAATTTTGGATACACCAGCACAGGTAATTTTTTCAAAGACTGCTTTGTAGTCTTCGATATATATTTGAGGATCCTGATTTACCCAAAATTGCTCGAGAAAAATCAAGTGATTACTTGTTGATAATATGCATGCACAAATTTGAGTGTCCTTGTCACGGCTCACGTGCCCCGCCTCAGGGCACCCAACGACTATTGATATGTGCCCTCCCCTTGCGCCCCCCCCGCCTCCTTAAGACACCATTGTTTTCAATTTAATATTGATATAGGGCCAGTCACGTAATGAAGTCGTTCCTTTTTTTGATATTCCAGAGGAAAAAAGAATAGCTTTAGAAAGTGCCGGCGTCCTGATCAGTTTTAATCTAATATTAAGACGTGTGGAGAAAGAAACTATGGCCGCCAAGTGTTCTCATGTATTCATTACCATTGCAGTCTTCGGGGTGGTTTTCTCACAAATGGGTAAGTAACCCAACTGAGCGAATTCAGAGCATTTGCACATCTCTTATCATGCTCGCTGAAGAAGACCATACTTATGCAAAATTTGGGGCAGGACAAAATTTCTATACTGTCTTCCCACCTCCACCACCACTACATTTCTATTGTCTTTCAACCTCCACCACCACTACATTTCCATTGTCTCCCTCCTCCACCATTACTACATTTCTACTGTCTTCCCTCCTCCACCACCACTACATTTCTATTGTCTTCCCTCCTTCACCACCACTACATTTCTACTGTCTTCCCTCCTCCACCACCACTACATTTCTATTGTCTTCCCTCCTCCACCACCACTACATTTCTACTGTCTTCCCTCCTCCACCACCACTACATTTCTATTGTCTCCCCTCCTCCACCATCACTACATTTCTATTGTCTTCCCTCCTCCACCATCACTACATTTCTATTGTCTTCCCTCCTCCACCATCACTACATTTCTATTGTCTCCCTCCTCCACCATCACTACATTTCTATTGTCTTCCCTCCTCCACCATCACTACATTTCTATTGTCTTCCCTCCTCCACCATCACTACATTTCTATTGTCTTCCCTCCTCCACCATCACTACATTTCTATTGTCTTCCCTCCTCCACCATCACTACATTTCTATTGTCTTCCCTCCTCCACCATCACTACATTTCTATTGTCTTCCCTCCTCCACCATCACTACATTTCTATTGTCTTCCCTCCTCCACCATCACTACATTTCTATTGTCTTCCCTCCTCCACCATCACTACATTTCTATTGTCTCCCTCCTCCACCATCACTACATTTCTATTGTCTTCCCTCCTCCACCATCACTACATTTCTATTGTCTTCCCTCCTCCATCATCACTACATTTCCATTGTCTTCCCTCCTCCACCACCTCTACATTTCTACTGTCTTCCCTCCTCCACCACCACTGCATTTCTACTGTCTTCCTTCCTCGACCACCACTGCATTTCTATTGTCTTTCGCCCTTCACCATTACCCTTTTGCATCACCACTGTTTGGCAATATAATCTTTCGTTTACCACCACCATTAATGGGGATTTGAAGTTCTGTTAATTTTGCTAAATACACCGTGAGCAGTGAAACAAGGTCAAGGTTTTTTCAATTGATTGGAAGTTGCCTCACATTCTAGAAAAACAAAACTGGCGAATGGTCTTCTCTTGATCGTCTTGCTTGAAAGGCATTTTATAAAGGTTTTGTACTTAAAACTTCTCGATAGTCGGGAAAGAAATTTTTAATATTTTTATTTCTTACGAGGGTTCTCCTTTTTTTAGTTAACTGCCTGAGCTGTTATACTTGTACAAGTGAGGATTCCTTGGAAAACTGCAATTCGAAGTTAACAAAAAAGGAATGCCCATCGGGGACACCGAATTGCCTCACTGGCACGTTAACATGTTTCGCCAGAGGGGAAGTCACGAAAACTTTCTTCTACAAGAGATGTGGAACCAAAGTCAAGGGCTGCGAGCCGTCAGATGATCCTTCCTGTCATTTGTCACAGGCTGGATGGTCTTCCAGAAGTACAAACGATTGTTGCACTAGAGACAACTGTAACGCGGCTCCCAAGAACGACACTGTGAACTCTGGTCCATTATATAAGATCAACGGCGCACTTACAAGAATGTCTATTTTGCTGGCCTTCATGGAGTTCTCGTACTTTTAAACACCTCATATCGCAATTAACCCTTTTTGGCTTTTTTAAGTTACTAAAGTTCCGAAACCAACGATATATGTAGCAAAATCAAGACAGGCTATTTAGTTTAGCCGCCGGGAGTAAGCAGCTAAAAATAAACAACCGGCTCACAAAGGTTCTTATTTTTCTTAATAACATATTTAGGTGACAGAACACTGACAGAAGATAGAGCTACTACATTAAAAGTATGACTGCAAATGTTATACTTTCAACATATTCTATTTCTTACTTACTCAACAACGGCAATAAAAAGCAATGTTGAAGTTGCAATTGACGTCATAGATATGTTATAACGTCAGTCCCTTTGATTGCTCTTTTCAAAGAACAGTCAAAAACGCGACGAAATGCAGTTAAGTTCGGGTTTTTAAAGGCTCTGTAAGTAAAATTCCGACAAGAAACATGGCCTTGAAACAGCCACCGACATAAGAGTCGATGAAATGGCGACAAACGACATAACGATGGGCTAAATACCCACAGGGACATGGTCTACTCCTTAAATAGACTGCGAGCAGTCCCTCAGGATGGCCATGCGAGCACTGAAGAAATAGAGCGAAGCGAGCGAAAAAAAAAAACAAACAGAAGCCAAGGGGAAGCTGGGAAGGAGGCCTCTCTCCAGGTTTTCTCTCGGCTATCTCGCTCTCTCCAGTCCTACCGAGCTTAGACTCGATTGACTGAAGAGGGACCGCTCGCAGCCTACTCCTTAAAATGCGAAGCGACCATATTTAAAATTCAGAGCAGGGACACACGTACCACAACCCCCCTAAGAGGGCCTCGTTTTTTAGCGTCGTTAATCGGCTTGATCAGCTCGACCAGCTTTAAACGGCGCTTGCTGTCGGAAGTTCCACGGGAAACCATTAATCCTCGTACGAACAGGGGAGAGGTGGATGCCAATCGCTCTAAGGTTTTTCCCAGACAATTTTAATTAGCAGCTGAAGTTTTCAGTAGCTATTCGTTTATCCCTCACGCGCATTTACTTATGCTCGGTTACTGATGATTACGAGATATGACGTCATAAGTAGCAGGTAGTCAAGCCATTTTGGAGTAAAAATGTATTTTTTTCAACTTCTTTCAACGATAAAAGTAAATCTTATGGATAAAATGAAGCGAATTACTTATTTATGTGTTACTGTCTACACGTCAAGCGCAAAAATAAGTTGCCAATTCGTGCCGTTTTTACTTGGTTTTCTAATTCTTGGTAAAATCCAAGATGGTGATCATGTTTAATTGGTGACGTCAAATGCCTCCAGCAGCGTCACCACCGATAAAATATACCTCATCTTGTAGGGAAGATCAAAGGCTTTCCACTGAAAGTAAACTATTTTCGAAATACCCAACATATCAACAACCCTAACTCTAGGAAGGGATTCCATGAACACCCCCCCCCCCGACCTTTCCGCCGCCCCTTGTACTACGGTGGTGGCATGACTTTGCGCGTATGTCCGAGGAATGAAATAAAATATTTTAAATAGATATTCTCACGTAAAGTTATGGCAGGGGCTAGCTTGCCCCAATGGCCAGGATGAGTTGGGGACTTCAAATCCTTGGAAGAGTTTGTTTTCTTTTTCTCTTCTTATCTTTTGTTGTTGTTATTGTTGTTTTGTTTTGTTTATTATTTTTTTTAGTTTTTCATAAATTTTCTTTCCCTGTTGGCTTCTTTTCCTTTCTTCCTTTTTCTGGTCGTGGCCCCTTCCTCGCAAAGTTCTGCCATTTACGAAGCCTGCGCAGCTGGTGAGACTTGGATGGGAGTGCTGTATTGTTTTGAAATCCCTCGCGGCGGCTTCGTCGCCAAGAAAGTACCCCGGACACAAGAATCCCGCCAGCTACGCAGGCTACCATTTGCGTATTTCTAGTTATTTAAAAATACTTGCTTTTGCGCTAATATTTTTTGTGCTGATATTTTTTTGTGTATAAATAATCGAGTTCTCCGACAATTTCCACATCTACAGTTATTTTAAGGTACTTTTGACAATAAACTGATATTAAAATTTTGACCTCCGAGAAACCGGAAGTCAGCAGTCTGTCGATTTAAATCAAGTGACGTCATATATGGCGTGATGTTCATAAATACCTGTAGCGAAATTTCTCTGAATCATTCCGTGAGCCAATAAGTCACTGTTAGGATATTTGTTGAGGCTACCAAGAGATATCGCGCACCGCACCGACTCCACATTGTGGAGACTATCAATAAGGTGCTGTATGCATGTGTATGGATGGGTGAAGCAGTAAATGAAGTCGCAGTCTGCATCATATCTATTCGAATATCACGAATAGTTTCATCTATATCTGCGTGATAACAGCCCTGGTTCAAGGTGAGTGTTGTTTAATCACGTTCTTGTTTTGAATCAGTTTGAAACAAAAATTCAGTATACTTGCGGCTGTAACGGTTAGTATTCGATTTCTTGTCTTGATTTCTTCGATTTAAGATGGAACATGGTGAAACAGTTTTCTTTCGAGTGTTTTGTTTATTTTCTACTGGGAGACAAACTGTGGCCTTGGGTCAGTGATTACGCAAATGAACTGACGCTCTACAATAACGAAGACCTGAATAAATTCATTAAACCAAGTCAATAACTAAAGGCCAATACATCACCGTAATAACATTCAAACTACCCCTGTATTTCCTATAATCTTTGTGGAAAAAAAGGCTTACATAGCATTTTTATACGCCATACTAGCAAGAGGAAGCTGAGGAAGCATTTGGAAGGCGATAGTGACATTCTTGGCCATTTTTCGCTCAGTTCTTATTTCTACCAATCAAGCTTATCTATAATCTGTTATTAGGCAGATTATGATAGGGTCATCCTTGAATTTCGATCACCGCGGAACATTTACAAAGCCTCCGTGCGAGATTTAGAAATATATACCAATACATGACAAAAATTTATATTGAGCGGAAAATTTTTTGCACTATTTGCTTGTGTAATTAAAATCCTACTCAAGAGCAGGAGCCCCCAAATCATCATTTGATGGGCTCCTGACAAGAGGCAACTTTACTGCAACCGTCTCCAACCTGCATTTCAACACATTTGTCTTCAATGTTACCTAAAAGGCAAAAGAATGGCCATAAAGGTCCGTTATAACGAGGATGAAAAAAACTATTCTGACAGTTAACTGGTTCACTGCGAACTATCAGGAGTTAGATAACAAAAAAGACCTCTAGCACCAAGAGTAATCAGGCAAGAATTTTTATTGAGATATTTGTCGCATTCATATCGCAGAGTTGACGGAAAGTGACAACATCAAACAAGAACTCTATAGAGCCTCTTCTTTAAGAGCCTAGAGGGGTAAAATGGCCTGGGAAAATGCAGGAATGTGATGATCGGGGGTGATCGAATGGGTGCAAAAGTCAAAAAAATCCTCAGGGGTTCCAACAACAACCCAAAAAATCTCTGCACCCAAAATTAGCCTACAAAAAAATCCCACATCGAATTTTCGAGCCTTAAAAAATTTCCAGAAAGCAAAACAAGTTCGGTTGTACTTGTAATATTCGCAGAATTGTCGCGGCCTGGATACGCGGGCACTACCACAAATCTTCAGGTTGTTTTTACTTCCCCAAAAAAATCCCCACTTAAATAAAAGCCACCAAAAAAAAAATACCAGCCAAATTTTCGCACCCAAAGAAATCTTCGATGTACCCTGCGAGCAGAGGTTTCTCTCGTGCATGGCTTTTAGAGTTAACAAAGTCCTTCGAGTGGCTTGTCTGTCGCGTAGTTGGCTTGCTTTATACGCCCAGTAAAGAAAACCAACTACGCGACAGACACGCCACGCGAATGACTTCGTAAACGCTAAAAGCCAACCTCTGCTCGCAGGGTACCTTCGATCATCCCGGTCACTAGAAATCCAGAGTACTCCCACAGATGGGCGTGTACAGCCCCCTCTCCCTCACGCTAATTGTGATCCTTTTTGTTTACAATTATTGATTTTTTGTGGCCAGCAATAAAAAAAGAATAAATTTGTTTCTGTTTTAATACTCCAAAGGCAAACAACAGCCCAGTGCAACGGATGAAAGATTATGAAAAGGAGACGACTGTTTAGTGATACAGAAAACTGCAGCAACGAACCCGAGATCGATGAGACTAAGCTGCCTGCAGAGCGTCTGTTAAAAACAAGGGATCTTCCCTCCAAGGTGAAGCCTTGCGAGGAAGTACTTTTACTTCCGGTTGACATTTTGTTACTGACAGTGGAGGACTGTGAATTCCTAAGTTGCGTTTCTCATCTAAATCCGGGATACATTCGGAGTAGTCATGACAACCTTGGAACGGTGTACTTCGGGTTGATGGGTACGGGTCCATCCTTGAAAATAGCTGTGATGAAGTGTTATCCAGGCCCTCTGACTCCGGGAGGTGCCTTAATAACTGTGACAAATGGTGTTAAAGAGTTAAGACCCAAAGCGGTATTTTGCGTGGGATTCTGCGCTGGCTTAGACCAAAAAGTCAGCTTGGGAGATGTGGCAATTTTAGCGAAGCTGAGAACATACTCTTCTGTGAAAGTAACGGAGAGTGGAATTCAAGAGCGTGGCATTGCTGTTCCGTTGGAGAGGAATCTTCTGAGCCTCATTAAAAACGCTGATGACGGCTGGAAGGCGCCGCTAAAAGGTTCGTGGGAGGTGAAAGTATGGAAACATGGCGTGTATTTGAGCGGACCAGAGAAGATAGAAAGTAGAGAACGACGCAAGGAACTCGTACAAAGATTCCCGGATGCGATTGCTATAGAAATGGAAGGGCAAGGTGAGAATTTGGCTTAATCCCGTCTGTGGAAAAACCCTTCCAAGTAACTGTTCCATAACACCCCTCTGTAACACACCCAGTGAAACCCTACCGAGTCTTCCCAGTGATAATTTAGCCTCCCCAGTCTGTCTGTACTGGCTAATTTTTTGCTCCCCGGGTCACTATTGTGACTCCTACACTGAACCAGTGTATTTCGTTATTCATATTTGTTTGATAGGGAGGCAAAAATAAAATACTTAATAAAGATAATCGATCTCGCATAAGAAAGTCTAAATCTTTTAGTTCTTAATTCTCGCTTAAGCAATATGTAAAAGGTTTTAAAGGTTTCATGCACAGTGAAGATGCAAGGCCTGTCATCCGTTTTAGCTTTTATGGGAGATACACAACTAAGAAACCCAGTGGAAAATCAGCCAACCCAGTAACGTTTTCTCCGAGGACCCGGTGAAGATATAGATTCTAGAGGGGTGTTCCATACGACTCTGTTCCAAATGAACATTCTTGGATCGGTTTTGGTTCATCCCTTCAGCCTCTCACTGAGAAGGGAGAGGTCGCTCCTATCGCTGGAAAGGTCCCAACTCTTTACTCTATTGACTTCCATTGAAGTCTTATTTACAGAGTCTTTTGCAGGTCTGTTCTTAGCCGCACACGACTTGAAGATTGAATGGATTGTTATCAAAGGCGTCTCTAACTTTGCTGATGGCAGGGAATCTAAGTCTTGGAACGAATTTGCGAGCGTAATGGCAGCTTCACTGACTGCACACATTCTAAGTAACCCAATTGTTTTTCAAAACTGGCCTCATTATGAGGGTGAGTATGCAGTAGCCTAGTCCCCAGTCCAGTTCGCGCCATCCGAGTGAGCGGAGAGGGCTTAGAATCAAATTCTCCCGACAATGACTGGAAACGAGGCTCAGTATGCAGGTGTCACACTTCTGAAGGTTCGATGGCCGTGAGCAATAAAAGGGAGTTCCACATATTACTTAGAATCTCACTTTTTTTTTCCACTGAAAATTTTTAAAGCAGGAATTGGGTAAACTTACTAGGAGTTCGTATCTCACATCAACCCTCGCGCAACTCGTTTTATTAGTAGCGCAACGTCAGGCACGCAAAGAATCTTAGGTAAAATAGCTTGTAAGCTACGTAGCGACGGGGTCGAGTAAGTTTTCGTAAAGATTTCTGAGACTGTAACTAGGGACAAGAAAGAATAGCCAATAGTGTCCCCAGTAACGATTGCAGAAACAACTGCGGGACACATTTCGGCCCCATTCCCCTTCCCGTTTCTAAGTGGCGGTTATAATCAACTTTTTTTTGGTGGGGGTGGGGGGGGTGAAAATAAATCAATAAACTGGCAATGCTGCTTTGGACAATTCTAATGGAGTTTATTTTTTGACATACCTGCTAAATGAAGGATGGACTTTTTTGCTTAATGAATCAGTAAAAGAAAAAAAGAAGAAGAAAAACGGGGGCATTTTTGGTTTAAGAGTTTGGCAAAATAAAGCCTTACTTGTGACATAGGAAATAAAGTGAGGGAGAAAAAGCTCGCAGAGTGGAGACACTGATAAAACTTTCAATTTCAATTCCACTAATCTAACGATGCAAATCTTAATTTCAGGTGATTGAAGGCCTGCTTATGGAGAGCATGAATTTAAAAAATGAGGTAAGACGATTTTATCCTAATTCACTCTATTCAAAGAAAAAGCATTTTTTAAAAGCAAAGTTAAATTTGTTAGTTCATCTGTAATTATTTATGCAGTTAGTATATTTATGGGGCAGTTTGTTAACTCTAAAATGTTGCTAACTTCTGACAATTTGTACATCCTTGCTATTTTTTTTTCAGGCACAGCTATCCTGCGCCCTGCTAAAAGCAGGAGTAGTTATCATTCTGGGTTGACCTAATGATAACATTGGCACGTAGATTTTTCAACGGGCAAAATATTCCTTGTATTAACCATTTTGTTTTTTCATTTAACTACAGCGTGTACCAGACCTTTTGGCAAAAGCAGGAGCTGGTGAACCTCCAGCTGTCAACTGAAATTGGTGTTAATCCGCTAGACTGAAAATGTCTTTGTTTCAATTTTTTTAACAAGTTAACTGCTGATTGGAAATGAAGTTTTAGTTTTGAAAATGAAATCGTCTATTAATTTTGGGGTTTTGTATGCTCTTACACGCGCCTCCATATCCATCGACTGCACATTGACGGAATGACACCATAGCCTGTGTACAGACTGGCCCCCTCCCCTCAGGAAAAATTGGAGAAGAAGCCCCTTCTCCCCCTTCTGCGATTTTGTCTCAGGGGATGGAGCGGCTGTACACAGGCTATGACGCTATTGAAAATTGAGGGAACTACTGGGAAAAGCTAGCTTGTCGTCATAAAAATAAAAAGGCAATAGTACCTCTAAATTTGTGCAAAATAATTGTTCTTGTCTTTCTCGTTTGAAAAAGAAGGGTTGTTGAAATAATGGAGCTACCTCTTTTAGGCCAAGTCCACACAAAACCAGACATTTTTGAAAACGCATATTTTCTTATCCGGACTCGTGTGTAAGGGCTCGTTTAACCCCTCTGGAGAGCAGTTTCAAGACAATGCGGGTTCGGTGAGCAGACGCACTGGTTTCGTGTGGACGGAAGGTCGATTCGTGTTTTAAAGTATGCGGTTCCAAAAATATCCGGATTCGTGTAAACGTAGCCTATAAAATTCAACCATTCACACTTTTTCTCGTCCTCAAATCAGACATTTTTTTACAGACAACCACTACCACAATTCTATCGTCTTCCCTCCTCCACCACCACCACCATTGACCACATTTCTATTGTCTTCCCTTCTCCTCCACCACCACCACTGACCACATTTCTATTGTCTCCCCTCCTCCTCCTCCACCACCACCACTGACCACATTTGTATTGTCTTCCCTCCTCCTCCTCCTTATCCTCCTTAGTGACAGGAGGGTAGGAGCTTGTAAGCGGTTTATGGATACTGCACGCCAAATGTCCCCTTAAGAACATCATCCCTCTCCTGCCGCTATTGAGTCTCATTACAGTATAAGGGTCCAACTTCCAAGACGTCAACATGGTCATACCAGAAGAATTAATGACTTTGTACCTTATAAATTTTAGTGAATGTATGTAAATGGTTAATTGTATGTGACAATGACCTTCCCCAACAATTCAGTTATTGCTGTAAGTGGATGAAATAAACAGAATATCTACCTATCTATCTATCTATCTATCTATCTATCTATCTATCTATCTATCTATCTATCTATCTCTACTGACCACATTTCTATTGTCTTTCCTCCCCCGCCTCCATCACCACCACTGACCACACTTCTATTGTCTTTCCTATACCACCACCACCACTACCATCAAATGTCTTTCCTCTACCACTAAAACCACATTTTTATCGTTTTCTCTTCACTATCACCACCACTACCACATTTCTGACCATTTCTATTGTCTTCTCTCCACCACCACCATAGCCACAATAATTCTATTGTCTCCCTTCACCACCAACACCACAACCACAACCACATTTCTGCCTTTCGCCCTCTACCCTTACCACTTCCACCACCACTGTTTTTCTATAATCGTCCCACCATAATTACATCGTCTTCCCTCCACCACCACCACTACCAAAACATTTTTATTGTGTCCCTCCACAACCACCACTACTACATTGTTATTGTCTTACCTCCTTCACTACCACCACATTTCTTTTGTCTTTCGCCCTTCACCATTACCACTTCCACCACCACAATTACAGGGGATTTGACGTTCTGTTGCTCTTGCTAAATCTTCTTTTGCACACGTAATGAAACCAAGTCAAGGTTTTTTCAAGTAGTTTGTCTGAGTTGCCTCACATTCCCGTAAAACAAAACTGGCAAATGTTCTTCTCTTGCACGTCTTGCGTGAAAGTCATTTTATAAAGTTTTTCTACGTAATGCCTCTGGCTAGTTCGGAAAGAAATTTTTCAGATTTTAATTTATTACTTACGAGGGTTATCATTTTTTTAGTTAACTGCCTGAGCTGTTATACCTGTACAAGTGAGGATTCCTTGCAAAATTGTAATTTGAAGTCAACAAAAAAAGATTGCCCATCGGGAACACCGAATTGTGTCACTGGCACGTTAATATGTTCTGCAGGGGAAGTCACGAAAACTGTCTTCTACAAGAGATGTGGAACCAAAGGCGAGGACTGCGACCCGTCAGATTATCCCTCCTGTCCTTCGTCACAGGGAGGATGGTTATTCGGCACTTCAGGCAAATGTTGCACTGGTGACAACTGTAACTCTGGCCCACGTAATACGATCAACGGCGCACTTACAGGAATGTCTATTTTGCTGGCCTTCTTGGGGTTCTCCTACTTTTAAACACTTCATATCGTAATTAACCTTTCATAGGCTTTTTTTAGTTACTAAACTTCGAAAACCAACGATATATGTAACAAAATCAAGAAAAGCTATTTAGTTTAGCCGCCGGGATTAAGCAGCTAAAAATAAATAACACCCACCGGCAGAGGTTCCTATTTTTCTCAACATGCTAGATGACAGAACACTGACAGAAGTTAGAGCTAGTACATTAAAAGTATGAATGCAACTATTATACTTTAACAAATTCTACTGCTTACATAGTCAACAACGGCAATAAAAAGCGATTTTGACTTCATTGATGTGTTATAACTTTAGTCCTGTTGATCATCTTAAGTTAAATGCAATGAATTGCATTTACGTTCGGGTTTTTAACCTTTCTGAAGCCCCGAGATCCACATATAACAAATTCTCCAGACTGATCTCCATACATTTCTTGTAAGAACGGTTGAGAGAATTTGGTTTAAAATCAAAGTATTCTCCCTTTGGTAATCAATTTAGTAATTCTCAGAACCTTTACTGTTGATGATCTGCTGATGTTGTTAGGAGAAAATTGATGTTGGTCACTCTTGAGACCTTAAGGGTTAAAGGCCCTGTTAGGGTAAAATTCCGACGAGGGACATGGCCTTGAAACAGCGACATAAGACTAGATGAAATGGCGACAAACGACATAAACATGGGTTAAATAGCAACAGGGGCATGGCCTAGTCCAACCTCGTCCCCAGGGCGTTTTCCCCTGGCTTCAAAGCCAAGGAAAAGCGCCCTGGGGACGAGGTTGGGCCTACTCCTCAAAACGCCCGAAACGACCATATCTAAAATTCAGGGCGGGGACACACGTACCACCCCCGCTCCTAAGAGGGTCTTGTTTTTTTAGCGTCAACAGCCCGGCCATTTTCCCCAAATTTGTCATTACATTGAATTCGTTTTAAATACGGCTTGATCAGTTTAATCAGCACGAGCAGCTCTAAACGGCGCTTGCTGGCGGAAGTTCCACGGACGTACAATTGGAGGGGGGAAGGTGGATGTCATCCCCCTCTAAGGTTTTTCTGAGTCTTTTTCCTAGACAATAAACATTAGTACCTGAAGTTTTCAGTAGCTTTACGTTTATCCCTCACGCGCATTTTGAAACACGTTTACTGATGACCAGTTATTATGGTTACAAGATATAACGTCATAAGTAGCAGGTGGTCTAGCCATTAGGGAGTAAGATACGGCGACTACGGACTGCGGCTACGGATAAACACGCTACAGCGCATGATCAAAACCACGTGACTGTTCCTTTTTCCGGCGTAGCCCTGCGGTTACGGCGAGTTGTTGAGCTGTTTCGCGTAGTCGGGACTACGGAGAACATTTTGCTCGTATTTTGCCGCCTCGGTAATTCAAGAATCTCGTCTTTTCGTAAAAAAGTTTTCAATTCACCTGCTTTAAGTGAGAGGGAAGCGAAATATGTAAGTCGTGTCTATTTTTTTCTCACATTTACGCTTTTAATCCACTGTTGTGACCACATTTTTATCTAGCTAAGCTCATATTTAAATAAGCTTCAGATTGACGGCCGAGGAGAAGAGAAATCATGCAGGTAATTTACTTTCTCTTCGCACTTGAAAAGTTTCAATGTTTGTTCCAACTGATTAGTGTGTCTTTCTATTTGTGTAACCTTTGTTTACGCGATTTTTTGTATCGCATTTGCTGAATGAAAATGATGTAAACATCTTTGAGACAATCGAAACTCGGCATCTCAATACTTCAAACTACATCAAATCAGTAGTCGGAGAAATCCACCTTCTAAATCTAATAAATGAGCTATTACTATTTCTGTCTATTTCTTTAATATTTGACATAAATATTCATGGGCGAAAAAAATTAAACCTGTGTAACCAAAACTTTGTTAACCAATTTCATCCGAAGTAATTACGTGTAATTGCTTCCTTCAAGTATGGAAGAATTTATTCATTGTTCTAAAGATAAGATCACCTGCAAAAGTGACTTGCATTTTTGTGAACTGTGATGAAAACAAGAAAATCTTTGCGTGTTGTTTCCCTCTCCGCTTCTTCTCTCGTCGTCTACTATCTGTAGTGCAATCTTAACGTTCTATATTTGCACAACTCAACCCAGTGCTACAAACGAAGGACAACGCTCGTCCAGCCGTAGTTCGTAGTCCGCAGTCTCCGTATCTTAAACTCCCTATTTTTGAGTGAAAATGAATGTTTTTCAACTTGTTTCCACGTTAAAAGTAAATCTTGTTGGTAAAATGAAGCGAATTATTTATCTGTTATTCTACACGTCAAGCACCAAAAAAATGACCAATTCTCGGCGTTTTTACCTGATTTCTAATTTTTGGTAAAATCCAAGATGGCGATCATGTTTGGTGAAGTCACTTTCCCCCAGCAGCGCCACCACCGATAAAATACACCTCATCTTGTAGGGACGATCAAAGGCTTTCCACTAAAGGTAAAATCGTTTCGATACACCCAACTTATCAATAACTCTAGGGAGGGGTTTCATCAACACCAACCTCCCCCCCCCTTTTGTACCACGGTGGGGGTATGACTTTGTCTGCATTGAGTTTTGTCCTATTTCACACTTTAAGTGACGTCTGGCTACAGCATCTCTTTGATTAGAGATGCGGCAAGAGGAAGCAGTCCGTTATATTTCCGCGTTGCGTGGACCTCTGCATTGAAACAGTTTTTCCAATATGTTTGTACGTCCGAGGGTTAAAATAAAGTATTTTGAATAGACTGATATCCTCACGTAGCTTAATGGTAGATGGTCAGGATAAGTTCGATTCTTAAAACAATTTGTTTTCTTTTTCTTACTTTTGTTGTCGTCATTGTTGTTTTGTTGTATTTTGTTTATTATAAGCCCTTTCCTGGCGAGGCTTTGCGATTTACCTATTTCTAATAGTATTTCTAGTTTTTGTGCTAAGATTTTTGTGTTCAAATAATCGAGTTTTCCGGCAACCTCCACATACATCTAAGGTGCTTTCTACGATAGACTGGTCCTAAACTTTTTGACTTCCGAGGGAAGCCGGAAGTCGATGACGTCAATAATTTTTATGTGGCGTGATGGTCAAACGTACCGTCCATGATCTAATAAGTCTGCGATAACATTCTTGGTGATGTTTTCGTAGACTACTTATTTCTACCACTCAAGCTTATTTACTATGCAGATTATGATGGCGTTATCCTTGAAGTTTTTATAAACAACGCAGTGTTTATAAAGCATTCCTGATTTTATACATGACGTAAATTCAGCGGAAAACGTTCGCTATATGCTTGTGTAAGCATAATCTTATACAAGAAGCAACTTTCCTACAACAATCTCCAACGTACACTACACAGTTAATTTGTCTTCAATGTTGCCTCCGATATATTGAGGTATTTGTCGAATTCAAATCACTGAGACGGAACTGTGACCACATTTAATATTAATCAAGAACGCTATAGACCCACCTCCATATAAGCCTTGAGGGGTAAGGCGGAGTGGAAGTTGGAATCAACCTATTTTTCCCGGGGAGGAGGGTACTTGGGTAAATTTTGCTGGGTATGTGCCGCTGGCCTCCCAGAGCCCCTACCCTACTATAGTCTATGCTGTGGCCTATTATAGACCCCATCTTAGTCACTTTTGGGCAAACATGTAATTTTTGTGATCCCAACTTAGTCACTTTCTATTTATGTATCTATCTTTTCAATCCTTTAAACAGGTCATCCTAAAACTGGAATTGACCCATTTTTTTAAATAGAATGAAGAACACTTGCCTTTTCCCCTACAGCACAAACATTGTGGTACGTTTTTTGTTTAAATATAAAGAACTGTATTACCCCAAAACTCAGAAAATGTGCGACCCCATTCTAGTAACTCTATTGAAAATGCGACCCCATTACAGTCAATCCAGTCGTGAAAATGCGACCCCATCCAGCGGCACATCCTCATTAGGCTCTCATAAGAAGGCACCCCCACCCCCCTCCCGGGGGGGCAATGTTTAGACTGGGAAAGCATGAATGTGGAAGTAAGATTTGAATGTTTGAGGCAAAATTGAGGCAAGAAGACAATGGGATCTGAAAGGGAAAGAGAAAGGGAAAAGTAAGAGGTGTGCTACCCCCTCCCCGTTCTCATGCTTGGGACCCTACAATTATTGATTTTGTGGGTACAGCAATAAAAATGGAATAAATTTGTTTCTGTCTTTATATTCCAAAGGCAAACAACAGCCTAGTGCAGCGGATGAAAGATTATGAAAAGGAGACGACTGTCTGGTGATACGGGAAACTGTAACCCACCCGAGATCGATGCTACAAAACTGCCTGCCGAGCGTCTGTTGAAAACAAGCGATCTGCCAGGACCAAAAGACGCGAAGCTTTGGGAGGAAGTACTAATGAACTTCCAGTTGATATTTTGCTACTGACAGTGAAGGATTGTGAATTATTAAGTTGCGTATCTCATCTAAATAAGGAATACATACGGAGTAGTCATGACAACCTTGGACCTGTGTACTTCGGGCTAATCGGTACGAGCCCAACTTTGAAAATCGCTTATGCGTACATGTTTACTTGTAGCCACGGCTTGGCTTATGCTAAATACACCTTTTCAAATATAGGAAGCTCCAACTTACAATTCTAGTGCGATAAAAAAAAGATTGCATCTGCGAAGATTTTTCCCGTAATCACAAAGTACAATTGCACGCTGTGAAGGTGTTCTCTATCGTTTAAGAATAAAAGCCCAATTAAATTCGTACTTTTATATGATATGCAATCCGTTAGGAACAATTTAAAAAAGATACACTGCTACTGATCAATACATGTCAATTCACTAACGCATTTGCAAAAAAAGAAAGGAAGAACCAGTTCAGCGCACTTGTATGTGAATAGTTAGCGATCGATAGCCAGCATGAACTGAGAAAAGTTTCGCCGCCAGTGTTTCTTTTCCACGTGAATTCGACCTAAGGCGCCTACACCCGTCCCAGTGGCCTACCAACAGGATCAAGAATAACTTTTTAATGGCTTTATATCAACACTGATATGTCTTGAATTTTATTGTAGATCATAAGTGTTTCAAATTGTAGCTTAGGTGGTAACTGTACCTTTTTCAACTTAAATCTTATTTTTAAGCGTATTTATACCTCTATTATTTTATCCATTTTTATATTTAAATACATTTTAAATTTTATATGTAATACACAGTTCAGCCATATACGGCTGCGACGTATTTTAATGAAGTGTCTATCTATCTATCAAGTTCAAGTTCTATCAGTTCTCACACGACATTGTCTAGCTTGAGTTGTTTGCTTTTCTGCTTGCTTGAACACTGTGAGTGTTTAATCTCACGCAATGATCCGCTCATTTTACTTCAAACGCCAGTAATTATTGTATTTACCTTGAGTTAAATAATTCTGTTTGAACTTCTGCGCGCATGAACAGTGCTTGATCGCACATGATGGTCTTATTATAACCCTCAGACGTACACCCAAACTCGCACCTCCACCGCGGTACCAATAGGGGGCTGGCTCGGAACCCCCCACCTCTAGCGTCTTTCTCTTATTCTATTTTATATGCGTTTACTTTTTTTGAAAAGATTCACCTTTAATAGATATAGGCTGTGATATCGTTAACAAGAATATGTTAATATTACGGGATACATACGTACGTAAGTAGCGCTACTGGGGGCCGGTAACGTCATTTAGATTTTAAGCTTGGCTACGAAATACTGCTTCGAAATACTAAGATGAAAAGAAAAAAAAGGAAAATAAAATAAAATAAAACCTAAAATTGTGGTTAAATAATGTTCCAAACAGGCCGTCTATCGACCGACGCTATATCTGTTATATGTGGTTTTCACTCATTCCGTGCGAAAGCGTTTTTAAAACTAACGGTTTAAGAAATTCCTTTTTTTCAAACAGTAGGCAATAAGAAGTGTTTATATAGAGCAGCCGCCTTCTTCTCCAGTTTAACAAGGCTTTTAATTTCAGAAAAATAGGGAGTCTTTATTTAATTTTATAGATGAAAATCTACGTGGTAGCTAATCTGGGTATACCTTAATTCGAATCAAGCTGTTGGCTGATAACAGTTACATAACTATTAACGATTTTACTTTTTTTCAACTATGATCAAACCATCGTTTGGTTTGGGTCTTATTACCCTTCTTCCTAGTTTTAGGAGGCGTACGTGGGTACCTCAGGTAATTAACTACGGCCCTGCTTACAAAATGCACATACAACTGTTAATTAAAGTTCATCTCAGTTATTCCAAAGCGATAAAGAAAGTTTGGTCCCACGAAGATTTCCCTCAAATATAATCACAAGGTACAATTAAACGTTAAAGTATTCTCTACCGCTTAATAACAAGATTCCGAGGAATTTCGCACCATTGTATGTTACTTTCCAGTTTATAAAAACGGTACGAAGCAAATAACAACTAAAACTTGAACTGCTTCTGAATACGTGATAATGCGCTAAGATTGGCAAAAATAAAAACAGTTCTCACATAACTTTGTCTAGCTTGAGTTGTTTGCCTTTCTGCCTGCTTGAACAGACGAGTCGCGGATGATCCTGTCATTTCACTGCAAACACCAGTAACCATTTTGTTTTATTCTCTGCTCTTTTTTCCCATTTAACAAACTTCCAGTGTGAGAGATATTTAAACAGCAGTGCCCATCCTGAAGTACCAGGAATCAGATACGACGTGCGCACGTGCGTACAGCTTCCCACGCCCTTGATCACGAAATCTTTATAAGACATGTGACTCATAGATAAGACACCATTCTGTTCGTGGACGGAATTCCATCAACACTATTTCAGTGAGTTGCCTCATTCCAACCAGGTAACTGCTTTTTAATACTAAAAGCTAAACTCACCCTTTTGATATATATAGCAAAGGCAGGCACATTACCAAGTCCTTAATAATTTTTGTGGTACCCTCTTTTTTAGTTAATAATGACATTTTGCGTTTCTTTTATCTAGACCTGATCTTCGAGATTTAATCATGAGGACCGCTTTCGTTTTCCTAACACTTCTCATGCTAGTCGTAGCATCAGTAACGGCAACCTACAGATTAGTTAGTTATCATTAATTATCGTATCATTAATGTTGTGGGTAGCATGGGAGATTCAAAAACGACTAAATCATCATTATCTTGGGAGGTTCTCAAAAAGTCAACGAAGAAAAGGAAGACTCTTTCAGACGGAGCGAACAATGATCGTTGACAAATCATCGCCTACAGCTCCTTGCTCTGCAAGTGGCATTTATCACTACAATCGCAAAAACCCCAATGTCAATTACTTTACTGGCGTAGAAAAACGGTTTTAAAGATGGATACCAAAGGCATTTGTACATGGTATAACGAGTCTCACAAGTCTTTAAAGAATACCCTAAGCGATTCACAAGCCTTTCTTACACAAACCGTCAGTAATGAATCTTAAAAGTATCTCAAATAAGCCTTCTGTAGCAAGCCTTGTGTAAAGACTCGTACACAAGCCTTCTGTAAGCCTTCTTCGGCGTTTTGTAAGACTCTTACACAAGCCTTCTGTAAGTATCTAACACAAGCCTTCTGTAAGGACTCTTACACAAGCCTTCTGTAAGTATCTCAGCTACACAAGCCTTCTGTAAGGACTCTTACACAAGCCTTGTGTAAGCACCCTTACACAAGACTTTTGTAAGGACTCTTCATACAAGTGTTAGATACTTACACAAGCCTTGTATAAAGAGTCTTACACAAGCCTTCTGTAAGTATCTTAGGAAAGCCTTCTGTAAGTCATACACAAAAGACAACAAAAACTTTTTACATAATTTTTAAGTGTTAACGAAGGCGTTCGTAAGAAGGACTTTTAGTAATGAGCTATTTTAATTAAATTGCGTTATTTAGTGACGCAGCAACTAAAATAGGGTAATTTTGGTGCAGTGAAATATATAAGGTGTTGTACATTATATTCTGTTACTGTTTTTATATAAGGTTCTGTGCCCAGCTGCTAAGATTGATCCCAGGTATGATGAATTCGCGTTCTCTTTCAAGAAAAAAAAATAAGGAAAAATTTAAACTCTTTGAGAGGTAAATCGCGCAGCTAGCAAAGGCAAAATATCCTTTAATATATAACACACTCACCCGGGAAGGGCTGAGGCCCATATAAGTATGAGTGAACTCTCGTGAACTACTGGTTTTTCTTGTCCTTTACAGAGTGACTCTACTACAGCAAAAGGGGAACCATGTTGCGGATATTGGTTTTGTTTCTCATTCCAGGCTTATTTGGTGATGCGGGTAAATAATTTTCCTACATTTTATTTAAGATAATAAGGTGGGGTAGGAGGTGGGGGAGGTGGTCAAATTTCTCTACATAAATGAAAATGGGACCATAAACATAAACTTGAGATAACTGAACGACTCCGATTTTCATCCAGATGGACATTTTCAACGACTTTGAAAAGGTGGGAATCTGTCAATAGACCAGTGAAAAGTCACAGACATTAAGGGTGCGTTTTATGGACGACAACGGAAGGGCGTGTGTATTCAGACAATCTCTTGCTAATATTATGCAGTCGAGAAAACGAAAGCTATTTTTCTTAATTGTTCTGCTGCAGACAATGCTCTGCTCATGCGCGATAAGGTACAGTGTGAACCAAGCCTCGTTTGTCTAGTATATCAGCGGTTATTTGATAAATCGCAATATTTTGCTCTCCCTCGTCCATAAATTGTTTATTATACATATTTCAGGTGCAGCTTGTCCGAGAGAGATGCAGCTGCAATTCTGTGAAGGCGATTCACATACACTCTCTTGCGCTCATCATAACCAGAGGATCAATATCCTTTCTGCAAACTACGGTCGTTTGACTGGAGCTCAAGTCTGTGGCTGGGGAGCAATAAAGACCACTACCTGCAAAGCTAATGGAGCACTTGCCAAAGTTCAAGGTCACTGTCAGGGACGTTCACAGTGCACATTACGGGCAACCAACAGCGAGTTTGGTGGTCCTTGCCCTGGAACTTACAAATATCTAGAGGTAACAATTTTTGTCAGCCTAGCTTTTATTTAGCCTGGTTCCAAAGGGATTGCTTTTTTTCTTTCTCATTGTGAAGTTCGTCACAGAAGAAGAATAGAAGAAACGTAGCCTTATGAGTAACTTTTTTTTTTTTTTTTAAGGGAAAGGGGACGAGAGGGACGAAAGGGGGAAAAAGAGGACGTATAGAGAAACCCCTGACACGAAACCCAAAGGGGGTCCATCTTCCCGTCGCATTCACCTTGTATTTGCAGTTTCCGCCTCCCTTTTTTCTTGTCTTTCCCGGCCACTTCAGCCCTTTTTCTATTGTCAATTATTATTAAAGCGATGTTGCCTAATTTTATCCAATTTCTTCCCCTTTTCTCTCTTTGACAATCCCCACCTCCCGGGTGCCCTTCCTTTTCCCGTCCCCCGTATCCCTCCACTGTATTCTCCTCGGGCTCCCCGCCCCCATTCGTCCTCCCCTACATCAGTGTGGAACAGAAAATTGAAAAAATAGAAATGACATGGGTAAATATCTACATCGGACAACTGATTTCTCTAGCTGTACATGTGACTATCCTTTCTCGATTATGATCCCTTTTGGACTGTTGGAATGGGTACTGTTAATAGCTTGATGGCAGCAAGCCTTGTTTTCTTGGGTTGACGACACTAACTCATGTCCGCTGAATTCAACAGGTTCGCTACGTATGTGAGTGAGAACGCCAAGACTCTGGTTCAACTAAAACTGTGGCGTGAGCCGTTAGTAGGGATCGAAAAATACAATCTTCATTTTTAGATGTGCAAAGAAAGCGCCACTTGACAATTTAGACGATTTAGCTCACGTAGTTTGCTTGGAAAGAAAATCATTAAACTTCTTTTTGAACGAGAATGTTGTATATCGATATTTTTCATCCCTTTTTTCACTCTTATAGCATGTCGCCATGTTGTTTTAGACCTCCTTTGCTTCGCGCTTCCCTTCGCTCGAATGAAAAACGCGAAAAAATAACTCCGGTTAGTAAAATCCAACAAGTGGTTTATTATCAAAGCTGCGTTCTAATTGGTTGAGCTACTACTAGGCTATATGTTATAGCCCACTAGTAGCGAAAAGCGCCGGCTTTGAGAACCAAAACAATGGCAGCTGAATAACGTTTTGCTAGCTAAAGTTTATTTGTCTCGATATTTTTGACCAACTAGTTGGATTTTACTAAAACAATCATTGCTCTCGCCCACATGGCTCTGAATCAATAGCCAATGAGGCCTTTCGGCCTCATGGCTCTTGACTCAGAGCCCGTTCGGGCTCGAGGAATAATTGTTATTTATACAGGCTATGATTTTTTGCTTTCCTCGCCTGCGTGTCCCGCTGAGAAAAAAAAGGGAAAGTAGAGAACAATCTTGCCAGCTTAAGGGAGATGGATAACTTTTAAATTATCCTGGTCAAATTTCAGCACTTTTTGCCACAAACAACGTACCAGCTTTGTTCACTAAATAAAAACGTTTTGAACTGAATGGCGGTTTTAAACTGTTTTAAAGTGAAATACTGTTACTTTTAGGCCTAGGGCCAGACGTCGAACTTTTCACGAGACGAACCAAGCTTAGTGAGTTAAGTTCATGAAAAGTTCCACGTCTGCCAGGCTCGGTTGAGTTTGTCCCATTAAGAGTTTGGATCCTCCAACACATTCTATCCGTCTGGTTCGACCCGTCCTAAGTTTGACGTCTGACCAGACAAACGATCTTAACTTAATTTAGGTCGACTCAAAAAAATTAGAGTTTGGTTCGTCTCATGAAAAGTTCGACGTTTGGTCCAGTCCTTAGAGTCAACAAATTTGGCTACGTTTACATTCACTAGATAAGATTAAGGAGATTTTACCTGATTCATTAATTTTTTCGGTTTCACACAAAATACGAATCCGAGAATACGTCCATATCTACTAAAGATTCCTCACTCACATTACCAGGCATTCCGCTGGACTATCCGGTATTTGTCTGGTTATTATTCACTTCACAGTTTAATTTTTAACAACCCCCCAAATCCAATATTTTCCAATTTTCCAAAATTTTAAATAACACCCATTAATTTTTATACTTCAAACTCGAAATATCATCTAAAAACTATTAATCCAAGAACTGAAAACTAATTGGCAATGAATCATTTTTCGACTGAATGAAATATTGGCTGATATCTAAGAAAAAGGGCGGAAATATGCGAAAAGCAATGCTTTAAACCAGTGCTTAAAGGGTCTTACTAGAAGTTGTCTGTCGTGTTATCGTCACTACACTCTATGTACTCTTGTCTTCATTGAACTTACAATTTCTCGTCCCATCTGTGAAAACGCTTGTCACCTAACGCTCTCCCCAAGGTTGATTCACATATTACCCATTTCCAAAGGTAGCTCAAAAGCTCTTCTCGCTTACTAACGAGAAGAAAAGCTTATTCAGTGGAAAAATATAAAAAAGGGAAGCTTAAAAAAAAATAGAGCTGCGATTATGGCTCGCACTGATGTTTAGTACTTCTGGTTAAACACAGATTTAGAACGCCGGGTTAGCTTTCATTACTACAAACCCAAAGAGAAGCTAAGAGAGAAAATAGTGCAGCGATTATGGTTTGTACTGATGTATAGCGATTACGGTTAAGCACTGATTTCAGATTTAGAATGGTTAGCTCCGTTAATAAAGAAGAGCCGCCTTCTTTAGTCCAACAAGGCTTTTGAGAGGTGATCAAAGAACTGGTTAATACTGTAGATACTATTATTTAATGTAGCAGTTGAAAATTTTCATGATCGCTTACCCAGTTTTATTTACCTAACTTATAACAAGAAGTTGGCTTAAGAAAATATGGACTAGTCTTTCGCCCCCTAGTATTTTATCTTTAGTTTAATAATCGTGTGGCTTTTACGAGGAAATCTACGGTCAGTTTGTAAACAAATTGTGCTTTTTGCTTCGAAGAATAAACATTCGCTCTTTTTTCAGGAACGCTTATGCGTACATGTTTACTTGTAGCCACGGCTTGGCTTATGCTAAATACACCTTTTCAAATATAGGAAGCTCCAACTTACAATTCTAGTGCGATAAAAAAAAGATTGCATCTGCGAAGATTTTTCCCGTAATCACAAAGTACAATTGCACGCTGTGAAGGTGTTCTCTATCGTTTAAGAATAAAAGCCCAATTAAATTCGTACTTTTATATGATATGCAATCCGTTAGGAACAATTTAAAAAGATACACTGCTACTGATCAATACATGTCAATTCACTAACGCATTTGCAAAAAAAAGAAAGGAAGAACCAGTTCAGCGCACTTGTATGTGAATAGTTAGTGATCGATACCCTGCATGAACTGAGAAAAGTTTCGCCGCCAGTGTTTCTGTTCCACGTGAATTCGACCTAAGGCGCCTACACCCGTCCCAGTGGCCTACCAATAGGATCAAGAATAATTTTTAATGGCTTTATATCAACACTGATATGTCTTGAATTTTATTGTAGATCATAAGTGTTTCAAATTGTAGCTTAGGTGGTAACTGTACCTTTTTAACTTAAATCTTATTTTTAAGCGTATTTATACCTCTATTTTTTAATCCATTTTATATTTTAATCCATTTTAAATTTTATATGTAATACACAATTCAGCCATACACGGCTGCGACGTATTTTAATAAAGTGTCTATCTATCTATCAATCAAGTTCAAGTTCTTTCAGTTCTCACACGACATTGTCTAGCTTGAGTTGTTTGCTTTTCTGCTTGCTTGAACACTGTGAGTGTTTAATCTCACGCAATGATACGCTCATTTTACTTCAAACGCCAGTAATTATCGTATTTACCTTGAGTTAAATAATTATGTTTGAACTTCCTGCGCGCATGAACAGTGCTTGATCGCACACGATGGTCTTATTATAACCCTTAGACGTACACCCAAACTCGCACCTCCACCGCGGTACCAATAGCGGGCTGGCTCGGAACCCCCCACCTCTAGCGTCTTTCTCTTATTCTATTTTATATGCGTTTACTTTTTTTGAAAAGATTCACCTTTAATAGATATAGGCTGTGATATCGTTAACAAGAATATGTTAATATTACGGGATACATACGTACGTAAGTAGCGCTACTGGGGGCCGGTAACGTCATTTAGATTTTAAGCTTGGCTACGAAATACTGCTTCGAAATACTAAGATGAAAAGAAAAAAATGGAAAATAAAATAAAATAAAACCTAAAATTGTGGTTAAATAATGTTCCAAACAGGCCGTCTATCGACCGACGCTATATCTGTTATATGTGGTTTTCACTCATTCCGTGCGAAAGCGTTTTTAAAACTAACGGTTTAAGAAATTCCTTTTTTTTTTTTTCAAACAGTAGGCAATAAGAAGTGTTTATATAGAGCAGCCGCCTTCTTCTCCAGTTTAACAAGGCTTTTAATTTCAGAAAAATAGGGAGTCTTTATTTAATTTTATAGATGAAAATCTACGTGGTAGCTAATCTGGGTATACCTTAATTCGAATCAAGCTGTTGGTTGATAACAGTTACATAACTATTAACGATTTTACTTTTTCAACTATGATCAAACCATCGTTTGGTTTGGGTCTTATTACCCTTCTCCCTAGTTTTAGGAGGCGTACGTGGGTACCTCAGGTAATTAACTACGGCCCTGCTTACAAAATGCACATACAACTGTTAATTAAAGTTCATCTCAGTTATTCCAAAGCGATAAAGAAAGTTTGGTCCCACGAAGATTCCCTCAAATATAATCACAAGGTACAATTAAACGTTAAAGTATTCTCTACCGCTTAATAACAAGATTCCGAGGAATTTCGCACCATTGTATGTTACTTTCCAGTTTATAAAAACGGTACGAAGCAAATAACAACTAAAACTTGAACTGCTTCTGAATACGTGATAATGCGCTAAGATTGGCAAAAATAAAAACAGTTCTCACATAACTTTGTCTAGCTTGAGTTGTTTGCCTTTCTGCCTGCTTGAACAGACGAGTCGCGGATGATCCTGTCATTTCACTGCAAACACCAGTAACCATTTTGTTTTATTCTCTGCTCTTTTTCCCATTTAACAAACTTCCAGTGTGAGAGATATTTAAACAGCAGTGCCCATCCTGAAGTACCAGGAATCAGATACGACGTGCGCACGTGCGTACAGCTTCCCACGCCCTTGATCACGAAATCTTTATAAGACATGTGACTCATAGATAAGACACCATTCTGTTCGTGGACGGAATTCCATCAACACTATTTCAGTGAGTTGCCTCATTCCAACCAGGTAACTGCTTTTTTTAATACTAAAAGCTAAACTCACCCTTTTGATATAGCAAAGGGAGGCACATTACCAAGTCCTTAATAATTTTGTGGTACCCTCTTTTAGTTAATAATGACATTTTGCGTTTCTTTTATCTAGACCTGATCTTCGAGATTTAATCATGAGGACCGCTTTCGTTTTCCTAACACTTCTCATGCTAGTCGTAGCATCAGTAACGGCAACCTACAGATTAGTTAGTTATCATTAATTATCGTATCATTAATGTTGTGGGTAGCATGGGAGGATTCAAAAAAACGACTAAATCATCATTATCTTGGGAGGTTCTCAAAAAAGTCAACGAAGAAAAGGAAGACTCTTTCAGACGGAGCGAACAATGATCGTTGACAAATCATCGCCTACAGCTCCTTGCTCTGCAAGTGGCATTTATCACTACAATCGCAAAAACCCCAATGTCAATTACTTGACTGGCGTAGAAAAACGGTTTTAAAGATGGATACCAAAGGCATTTGTACATGGTATAACGAGTCTCACAAGTCTTTAAAGAATACCCTAAGCGATTCACAAGCCTTTCTTACACAAACCGTCAGTAATGAATCTTAAAAGTATCTCAAATAAGCCTTCTGTAGCAAGCCTTGTGTAAAGACTCGTACACAAGCCTTCTGTAAGCCTTCTTCGGCGTTTTGTAAGACTCTTACACAAGCCTTCTGTAAGATACTTACACAAGCCTTCTGTAAGTATCTAACACAAGCCTTCTGTAAGGACTCTTACACAAGCCTTCTGTAAGTATCTCAGCTACACAAGCCTTCTGTAAGGACTCTTACACAAGCCTTGTGTAAGCACCTTACACAAGACTTTTGTAAGGACTCTTCATACAAGTGTTAGATACTTACACAAGCCTTGTATAAAGAGTCTTACACAAGCCTTCTGTAAGTATCTTAGGAAAGCCTTCTGTAAGTCATACACAAAAGACAACAAAAACTTTTTACATAATTTTTAAGTGTTAACGAAGGCGTTCGTAAGAAGGACTTTTAGTAATGAGCTATTTTAATTAAATTGCGTTATTTAGTGACGCAGCAACTAAAATAGGGTAATTTTGGTGCAGTGAAATATATAAGGTGTTGTACATTATATTCTGTTACTGTTTTTATATAAGGTTCTGTGCCCAGCTGCTAAGATTGATCCCAGGTATGATGAATTCGCGTTCTCTTTCAAGAAAAAAAAATAAGGAAAAATTTAAACTCTTTGAGAGGTGAATCGCGCAGCTAGCAAAGGCAAAATATCCTTTAATATATAACACACTCACCGGGAAGGGCTGAGGCCCATATAAGTATGAGTGAACTCTCGTGAACTACTGGTTTTTCTTGTCCTTTACAGAGTGACTCTACTACAGCAAAAGGGGAACCATGTTGCGGATATTGGTTTTGTTTCTCATTCCAGGCTTATTTGGTGATGCGGGTAAATAATTTTCCTACATTTTATTTAAGATAATAAGGTGGGGTAGGAGGTGGGGGAGGTGGTCAAATTTCTCTACATAAATGAAAATGGGACCATAAACATAAACTTGAGATAACTGAACGACTCCGATTTTCATCCAGATGGACATTTTCAACGACTTTGAAAAGGTGGGAATCTGTCAATAGACCAGTGAAAAGTCACAGACATTAAGGGTGCGTTTTATGGACGACAACGGAAGGGCGTGTGTATTCAGACAATCTCTTGCTAATATTATGCAATCGAGAAAACGAAAGCTATTTTTCTTAATTGTTCTGCTGCAGATAATGCTCTGCTCATGCGCGATAAGGTACAGTGTGAACCAAGCCTTGTTTGTCTAGTATATCAGCGGTTATTTGATAAATCGCAATATTTTGCTCTCCCTCGTCCATAAATTGTTTATTATACATATTTCAGGTGCAGCTTGTCCGAGAGAGATGCAGCTGCAATTCTGTGAAGGCGATTCACATACACTCTCTTGCGCTCATCATAACCAGAGGATCAATATCCTTTCTGCAAACTACGGTCGTTTGACTGGAGCTCAAGTCTGTGGCTGGGGAGCAATAAAGACCACTACCTGCAAAGCTAATGGAGCACTTGCCAAAGTTCAAGGTCACTGTCAGGGACGTTCACAGTGCACATTACGGGCAACCAACAGCGAGTTTGGTGGTCCTTGCCCTGGAACTTACAAATATCTAGAGGTAACAATTTTTGTCAGCCTAGCTTTTATTTAGCCTGGTTCCAAAGGGATTGCTTTTTTTTTCTTTCTCATTGTCAAGTTCGTCACAGAAGAAGAATAGAAGAAACGTAGCCTCATGAGTAACTTTTTTTTTTTTTTTAAGGAAAGGGGACGAGAGGGACGAAAGGGGGAAAAAGAGGACGTATAGAGAAACCCCTGACACGAAACCCAAAGGGGGTCCATCTTCCCGTCGCATTCACCTTGTATTTGCAGTTTCCGCCTCCCTTTTTTCTTGTCTTTCCCGGCCACTTCAGCCCTTTTTCTATTGTCAATTATTATTAAAGCGATGTTGCCTAATTTTATCCAATTTCTTCCCCTTTTCTCCCTTTGACAATCCCCACCTCCCGGGTGCCCTTCCTTTTCCCGCCCCCGTATCCCTCCACTGTATTCTCCTCAGGCTCCCCGCCCCATTCGTCCTCCCCTACATCAGTGTGGAACAGAAAATTGAAAAAAATAGAAATGACATGGGTAAATATCTACATCGGACAACTGATTTCTCTAGCTGTACATGTGACTATCCTTTCTCGATTATGATCCCTTTTGGACTGTTGGAATGGGTACTGTTAATAGCTTGATGGCAGCAAGCCTTGTTTTCTTGGGTTGACGACACTAACTCATGTCCGCTGAATTCAACAGGTTCGCTACGTATGTGAGTGAGAACGCCAAGACTCTGGTTCAACTAAAACTGTGGCGTGAGCCGTTAGTAGGGATCGAAAAATACAATCTTCATTTGTAGATGTGCAAAGAAAGCGCCACTTGACAATTTAGACGATTTAGCTCACGTAGTTTGCTTGGAAAGAAAATCATTAAACTTCTTTTTGAACGAGAATGTTGTATATCGATATTTTTCATCCCTTTTTTCACTCTTATAGCATGTCGCCATGTTGTTTTAGACCTCCTTTGCTTCGCGCTTCCCTTCGCTCGAATGAAAAACGCGAAAAAAATAACTCCGGTTAGTAAAATCCAACAAGTGGTTTATTATCAAAGCTGCGTTCTAATTGGTTGAGCTACTACTAGGCTATATGTTATAGCCCACTAGTAGCGAAAAGCGCCGGCTTTGAGAACCAAAACAATGGCAGCTGAATAACGTTTTGCTAGCTAAAGTTTATTTGTCTCGATATTTTTGACCAACTAGTTGGATTTTTACTAAAACAATCATTGCTCTCGCCCACATGGCTCTGAATCAATAGCCAATGAGGCCTTTCGGCCTCATGGCTTTGACTCAGAGCCCGTTCAACTCGAGGAATAATTGTTATTTATACAGGCTATGATTTTTGCTTTCCTCGCCTGCGTGTCCGCTGAAAAAAAAAAAAAGGGAAAGTAGAGAACAATCTTGCCAGCTTAGGGAGATGGATAACTTTTAAATTATCCTGGTCAAATTTCAGCACTTTTTGCCACAAACAACGTACCAGCTTCGTTCACTAAATAAAAACGTTTTGAACTGAATGGCGGTTTTAAACTGTTTTAAAGTGAAATACTGTTACTTTTAGGCCTAGGGTCAGACGTCGAACTTTTCACGAGACGAACCAAGCTTAGTGAGTTAAGTTCATGAAAAGTTCCACGTCTGCCAGGCTCGGTTGAGTTTGTCCCATTAAGAGTTTGGATCCTCCAACACATTCTATCCGTCTGGTTCGACCCGTCCTAAGTTTGACGTCTGACCAGACAAACGATCTTAACTTAATTTAGGTCGACTCAAAAAAATTAGAGTTTGGTTCGTCTCATGAAAAGTTCGACGTTTGGTCCAGTCCTTAGAGTCAACAAATTTGGCTACGTTTACATTCACTAGATAAGATTAAGGAGATTTTACCTGATTCATTAATTTTTTCGGTTTCACACAAAATACGAATCCGAGAATACCATATCTACTAAAGATTCTTCACTCACATTACCAGGCATTCCGCTGGACTATCCGGTATTTGTCTGGTTATTATTCACTTCACAGTTTAATTTTTAACAACCCCCCAAATCCAATATTTTCCAATTTTCCAAAATTTTAAATAACACCCATTAATTTTTATACTTCAAACTCGAAATATCATCTAAAAACTATTAATCCAAGAACTGAAAACTAATTGGCAATGAATCATTTTTCGACTGAATGAAATATTGGCTGATATCTAAGAAAAAGGGCGGAAATATGCGAAAAGCAATGCTTTAAACCAGTGCTTAAAGGGTCTTACTAGAAGTTGTCTGTCGTGTTATCGTCACTACACTCTATGTACTCTTGTCTTCATTGAACTTACAATTTCTCGTCCCATCTGTGAAAACGCTTGTCACCTAACGCTCTCCCCAAGGTTGATTCACATATTACCCATTTCCAAAGGTAGCTCAAAAGCTCTTCTCGCTTACTAACGAGAAGAAAAGCTTATTCAGTGGAAAAATAAGAAAAAGGGAAGCTTAAAAAAAATAGAGCTGCGATTATGGCTCGCACTGATGTTTAGTACTTCTGGTTAAACACAGATTTAGAACGCCGGGTTAGCTTTCATTACTACAAACTCCAAAGAGAAGCTAAGAGAGAAAATAGTGCAGCGATTATGGTTTGTACTGATGTATAGCGATTACGGTTAAGCACTGATTTCAGATTTAGAATGGTTAGCTCCGTTAATAAAGAAGAGCCGCCTTCTTTAGTCCAACAAGGCTTTTGAGAGGTGATCAAAGAACTGGTTAATACTGTAGATACTATTTAATGTAGCAGTTGAAAATTTTCATGATCGCTTACCCAGTTTTATTTACCTAACTTATAACAAGAAGTTGGCTTAAGAAAATATGGACTAGCCTTTCGCCCCCTAGTATTTTATCTTTAGTTTAATAATCGTGTGGCTTTTACGAGGAAATCTACGTTCAGTTTGTAAACAAATTGTGCTTTTTGCTTCGAAGAATAAACATTCGCTCTTTTTTCAGGAACGCTTATGCGTACATGTTTACTTGTAGCCACGGCTTGGCTTATGCTAAATACACCTTTTCAAATATAGGAAGCTCCAACTTACAATTCTAGTGCGATAAAAAAAAGATTGCATCTGCGAAGATTTTTCCCGTAATCACAAAGTACAATTGCACGCTGTGAAGGTGTTCTCTATCGTTTAAGAATAAAAGCCCAATTAAATTCGTACTTTTATATGATATGCAATCCGTTAGGAACAATTTAAAAAAGATACACTGCTACTGATCAATACATGTCAATTCACTAACGCATTTGCAAAAAAAGAAAGGAAGAACCAGTTCAGCGCACTTGTATGTGAATAGTTAGTGATCGATACCCTGCATGAACTGAGAAAAGTTTCGCCGCCAGTGTTTCTGTTCCACGTGAATTCGACCTAAGGCGCCTACACCCGTCCCAGTGGCCTACCAATAGGATCAAGAATAATTTTTTAATGGCTTTATATCAACACTGATATGTCTTGAATTTTATTGTAGATCATAAGTGTTTCAAATTGTAGCTTAGGTGGTAACTGTACCTTTTTTAACTTAAATCTTATTTTTAAGCGTATTTATACCTCTATTTTTTAATCCATTTTTATATTTTAATCCATTTTAAATTTTATATGTAATACACAATTCAGCCATACACGGCTGCGACGTATTTTAATAAAGTGTCTATCTATCTATCAATCAAGATCAAGTTCTTTCAGTTCTCACACGACATTGTCTAGCTTGAGTTGTTTGCTTTTCTGCTTGCTTGAACACTGTGAGTGTTTAATCTCACGCAATGATACGCTCATTTTACTTCAAACGCCAGTAATTATCGTATTTACCTTGAGTTAAATAATTATGTTTGAACTTCTGCGCGCATGAACAGTGCTTGATCGCACACGATGGTCTTATTATAACCCTTAGACGTACACCCAAACTCGCACCTCCACCGCGGTACCAATAGCGGGCTGGCTCGGAACCCCCCACCTCTAGCGTCTTTCTCTTATTCTATTTTATATGCGTTTACTTTTTTTGAAAAGATTCACCTTTAATAGATATAGGCTGTGATATCGTTAACAAGAATATGTTAATATTACGGGATACATACGTACGTAAGTAGCGCTACTGGGGGCCGGTAACGTCATTTAGATTTTAAGCTTGGCTACGAAATACTGCTTCGAAATACTAAGATGAAAAGAAAAAAATGGAAAATAAAATAAAATAAAACCTAAAATTGTGGTTAAATAATGTTCCAAACAGGCCGTCTATCGACCCACGCTATATCTGTTATATGTGGTTTTCACTCATTCCGTGTGAAAGCGTTTTTAAAACTAACGGTTTAAGAAATTCCTTTTTTTCAAACAGTAGGCAATAAGAAGTGTTTATATAGAGCAGCCGCCTTCTTCTCCAGTTTAACAAGGCTTTTAATTTCAGAAAAATAGGGAGTCTTTATTTAATTTTATAGATGAAAATCTACGTGGTAGCTAATCTGGGTATACCTTAATTCGAATCAAGCTGTTGGCTGATAACAGTTACATAACTATTAACGATTTTACTTTTTCAACTATGATCAAACCATCGTTTGGTTTGGGTCTTATTACCCTTCTCCCTAGTTTTAGGAGGCGTACGTGGGTACCTCAGGTAATTAACTACGGCCCTGCTTACAAAATGCACATACAACTGTTAATTAAAGTTCATCTCAGTTATTCCAAAGCGATAAAGAAAGTTTGGTCCCACGAAGATTTCCCTCAAATATAATCACAAGGTACAATTAAACGTTAAAGTATTCTCTACCGCTTAATAACAAGATTCCGAGGAATTTCGCACCATTGTATGTTACTTTCCAGTTTATAAAAACGGTACGAAGCAAATAACAACTAAAACTTGAACTGCTTCTGAATACGTGATAATGCGCTAAGATTGGCAAAAATAAAAACAGTTCTCACATAACTTTGTCTAGCTTGAGTTGTTTGCCTTTCTGCCTGCTTGAACAGACGAGTCGCGGATGATCCTGTCATTTCATTGCAAACACCAGTAACCATTTTGTTTTATTCTCTGCTCTTTTTCCCATTTAACAAACTTCCAGTGTGAGAGATATTTAAACAGCAGTGCCCATCCTGAAGTACCAGGAATCAGATACGACGTGCGCACGTGCGTACAGCTTCCCACGCCCTTGATCACGAAATCTTTATAAGACATGTGACTCATAGATAAGACACCATTCTGTTCGTGGACGGAATTCCATCAACACTATTTCAGTGAGTTGCCTCATTCCAACCAGGTAACTGCTTTTTTAATACTAAAAGCTAAACTCACCCTTTTGATATAGCAAAGGGAGGCACATTACCAAGTCCTTAATAATTTTGTGGTACCCTCTTTTAGTTAATAATGACATTTTGCGTTTCTTTTATCTAGACCTGATCTTCGAGATTTAATCATGAGGACCGCTTTCGTTTTCCTAACACTTCTCATGCTAGTCGTAGCATCAGTAACGGCAACCTACAGATTAGTTAGTTATCATTAATTATCGTATCATTAATGTTGTGGGTAGCATGGGAGGATTCAAAAAACGACTAAATCATCATTATCTTGGGAGGTTCTCAAAAAAGTCAACGAAGAAAAGGAAGACTCTTTCAGACGGAGCGAACAATGATCGTTGACAAATCATCGCCTACAGCTCCTTGCTCTGCAAGTGGCATTTATCACTACAATCGCAAAAACCCCAATGTCAATTACTTTACTGGCGTAGAAAAACGGTTTTAAAGATGGATACCAAAGGCATTTGTACATGGTATAACGAGTCTCACAAGTCTTTAAAGAATACCCTAAGCGATTCACAAGCCTTTCTTACACAAACCGTCAGTAATGAATCTTAAAAGTATCTCAAATAAGCCTTCTGTAGCAAGCCTTGTGTAAAGACTCGTACACAAGCCTTCTGTAAGCCTTCTTCGGCGTTTTGTAAGACTCTTACACAAGCCTTCTGTAAGATACTTACACAAGCCTTCTGTAAGTATCTAACACAAGCCTTCTGTAAGGACTCTTACACAAGCCTTCTGTAAGTATCTCAGCTACACAAGCCTTCTGTAAGGACTCTTACACAAGCCTTGTGTAAGCACCCTACACAAGACTTTTGTAAGGACTCTTCATACAAGTGTTAGATACTTACACAAGCCTTGTATAAAGAGTCTTACACAAGCCTTCTGTAAGTATCTTAGGAAAGCCTTCTGTAAGTCATACACAAAAGACAACAAAAACTTTTTACATAATTTTTAAGTGTTAACGAAGGCGTTCGTAAGAAGGACTTTTAGTAATGAGCTATTTTAATTAAATTGCGTTATTTAGTGACGCAGCAACTAAAATAGGGTAATTTTGGTGCAGTGAAATATATAAGGTGTTGTACATTATATTCTGTTACTGTTTTTATATAAGGTTCTGTGCCCAGCTGCTAAGATTGATCCCAGGTATGATGAATTCGCGTTCTCTTTCAAAAAAAAAATAAGGAAAAATTTAAACTCTTTGAGAGGTGAATCGCGCAGCTAGCAAAGGCAAAATATCCTTTAATATATAACACACTCACCCGGGAAGGGCTGAGGCCCATATAAGTATGAGTGAACTCTCGTGAACTACTGGTTTTTCTTGTCCTTTACAGAGTGACTCTACTACAGCAAAAGGGGAACCATGTTGCGGATATTGGTTTTGTTTCTCATTCCAGGCTTATTTGGTGATGCGGGTAAATAATTTTCCTACATTTTATTTAAGATAATAAGGTGGGGTAGGAGGTGGGGGAGGTGGTCAAATTTCTCTACATAAATGAAAATGGGACCATAAACATAAACTTGAGATAACTGAACGACTCCGATTTTCATCCAGATGGACATTTTCAACGACTTTGAAAAGGTGGGAATCTGTCAATAGACCAGTGAAAAGTCACAGACATTAAGGGTGCGTTTTATGGACGACAACGGAAGGGCGTGTGTATTCAGACAATCTCTTGCTAATATTATGCAATCGAGAAAAACGAAAGCTATTTTTCTTAATTGTTCTGCTGCAGACAATGCTCTGCTCATGCGCGATAAGGTACAGTGTGAACCAAGCCTCGTTTGTCTAGTATATCAGCGGTTATTTGATAAATCGCAATATTTTGCTCTCCCTCGTCCATAAATTGTTTATTATACATATTTCAGGTGCAGCTTGTCCGAGAGAGATGCAGCTGCAATTCTGTGAAGGCGATTCACATACACTCTCTTGCGCTCATCATAGCAAGAGGATCAATATCCTTTCTGCAAACTACGGTCGTTTGACTGGAGCTCAAGTCTGTGGCTGGGGAGCAATAAAGACCACTACCTGCAAAGCTAATGGAGCACTTGCCAAAGTTCAAGGTCACTGTCAGGGACGTTCACAGTGCACATTACGGGCAACCAACAGCGAGTTTGGTGGTCCTTGCCCTGGAACTTACAAATATCTAGAGGTAACAATTTTTGTCAGCCTAGCTTTTATTTAGCCTGGTTCCAAAGGGATTGCTTTTTTTCCTTTTCATTGTCAAGTTCATCACAGAAGAAGAATAGAAGGAGTCGAAGCCTCATGAATAAAAGGGGAAAAAGGGGACGTATAGAGAAACCCCAGGCACAAAACCGAAAGAGGGTCCATCTTCCCGCCGCATTTTGCCTTGTATTTGCAGTTTCCGCCTCCTTTTTTTCTTGACTTTCCTGGCCACTTCAGCCCTTTTTCTATTGTGAAGTATTAAGCGATGTTGCCTAATTTCCTCCAATTTCTTCCCCTTCTCTCCCTTTGAGAATCCCCACCTCCCTGGTACCCTTCCTTTTCCCGCCTCCCGCACCCCTCCCCTGTATTCTCGCTGATTTCTATCAGTTGTACATGTTACTGGTTATTGAATATGCCGTCCTTTCTCGATTTTAATCCCTTTTGGACTGTTGGAATGGATACCGTTAAAAGCTTGATGGCAGCAAGCCTTGATTTCTTGTGTTGATGACACTTACTTATGTCCGCTGAATTCAACAGGTTCGCTACGTATGTGAGTGAGAACGCCAAGACTATGGTTCAGCTAAAAATGTGGCGTGAGCCGTCAGTGGGGATCGAAAAAGACAACCTTCATTTATAGCTGTGCAAAGAAAGCGCCACTTGACAATTTAGACGATTTAGCTCATGTAGTTTGCTTGGAAAGAAAATCATTAAACTTCCTTTTGAACCGGAATGTTGTATACTGATATTTGTCTACCATTTTTTTACTCTTATAGCATGGCGCCATGTTGTTTAGACCTCGTTTGCTTCGCGCTTCCCATGTTTTGCTTTCCCCGCGTGTACCGCTTAGTAAAAAAAACCACAACAACAACAACGGAAAAATAGAGAACAATCTTGCCACTAGGGGAGATGGATAACTTTAAAATTATCCCGGTCAAATTGAGCACCTTTTACCACAAACAACAATGACTAGCTTTGTGCACTAAATAAAAAAGCAGTTTAATTTAAAGAAAAACATTTAGAACAGCATGGCGGTTTTAAAGTGAAACACTGTTACTTTTTAGACCTGGGCCAAAAGTCGAACATTTACATGAACATTTCACGAGACAAACCTGGCTTATGGAGTTATATTAAGTTAATGAAAAGTTCGACGTCTGGCTTGGTTGAGTTCGTCTAAATGAGAGTTTGGATCCTCCAACACGTTCTATCTGTCTAACCTACAAATTAAAAAATTTGTTTGATAATGTATATTTAGCCTGGTTCAGGAAAAAATTAATTAAAATTGTTTTTGTTCTGATTCAGTTGGTTGGTTCGACGCGTCCTAAGTTTGGCGTCTGACCCAACACTGAACGATCTTAACTTAATTTAGGTCGACTCAAATTAGAGTTTGGTTCGTCTCATGAAAAGTTCGACGTTTGGTCTAGGTCTTAGAGTCAACAAATTTGGCTACGTTTACATACACTAGATAAGATTCAGGAGATTTTACCTGATTCACAAATGTTTCCGGTTTTACACAAAATACGAAGGCGAGAAAATCCATATCTACTAAAGATTCGTCACTCACATTACCAGGCATTCCGCTGATGGGATCAGAGGCACCTTGTTTTGGAGGTGGACTATCTAGTATTTGTCTGCATATTATTCACTTCACAGTTTAATTTTTAACAACCCCCCAAATCCAATATTCTCCAATTTTCCAAAATTTTAAATAACACGCATTAATTTTTATGCATCAAACTCGAAAAATCATCTAAAAACTATTAATGCAAGAACTGCAAACTAATTACATCATTTTTCGATTGAATGAAATATTGGCTGATATTAAAGAAAGAGGGCGGAAATATGCGAAAAGCAATGCTTTAAACCAGGCCTTAAAGGGTCTTACTAGAAGTTGTCTGTCGTACTATCGTGACTACACTTTATGCACTCTTGTCCTCATTGAACTTACAATTTCTCGTTCCATCTGTGAAAACGCTTGTCACCTAACGCTCTCCCCAAGGTTGATTCACATATTACCCATTTACAAAGGTAGCTCAAAAGCTCTTCTCGCTTACTAACGAGAAGAAAAGCTTATTTAGCGGAAAAAAAATAAGAACAAGGGAAGCTTAAAAAAAAAATAGAGCTGCGGTTATGGCTCGCACTGATGTTTAGTACTTCTGGTTAAACACAGATTTAGAACGCCGGGTTAGCTTTCATTACTACAAACTCCAAAGAGAAGCTAAAGAGAAAATAGTGCAGCGATTATGGTTTGTACTGATGTATAGCGATTACGGTTAAGCACTGATTTCAGATTTAGAATGGTTAGCTCCGTTAATAAAGAAGAGCCGCCTTCTTTAGTCCAACAAGGCTTTTGAGAGGTGATCAAAGAACTGGTTAATACTGTAGATACTATTTAATGTAGCAGTTGAAAATTTTCATGATCGCTTACCCAGTTTTATTTACCTAACTTAAACCAAAAAGTTGGCTTAAGAAAATATGGACTAGTCTTTCGCCCCCTAGTATTTTATCTTTTAAGCCTTAATATTTAGTTTAATAATCGTGTGGCTTTTACGAGGAAATCTACGTTCAGTTTGTAAACAAATTGTGCCTTTTGCTTCGAACAATAAACATTCGCTCTTTTTTCAGGAACGCATATGCGTACATGTTTACTTGTAGCCACGGCTTGGCTTATGCTAAATACACCTTTTCAAATATAGGAAGCTCCAACTTACAATTCTCGTGCGATAAAAAAAGATTACACCTGCGAAGATTTTTCCCGTAATCACAAAGTACAATTGCACGCTGTGAACGTGTTCTCTATCGTTTAAGAATAAAAGCCCAATTAAATTCGTACTTTTATATGATATGGAATCCGTTAGGAACAATTTAAAAAAGATACACTGCTACTGAATAAGTGTCAATTCACTAAAACGCATTTGCAAAAAAAGAAAGGAAGAACCAGTTCAGCGCACTTGTATGTGAATAGTTAGTGATCGATAGCCAGCATGAACTGAGAAAAGTTTCGCCGCCAGTGTTTCTGTTCCACGTGAATTCGACCTAAGGCGCCTATACCCGTCCCCGTGGTCTACCAATAGGTTCAAGAATAATTTTTCAATGGCTTTGTGTCAACACTGATATGTCTTGAATTTTACTGTAGATCATAAGTGTTTTAAATCGTAGCTTAGGTGGTAACTGTACCTTTTTCAACTTAAATCTGATTGTTAAGCGTATTTATACCTTTATCATTTTATCCATTTTTATATTTTAATCCATTTTAAATTTTATATGTAATACACAATTCAGCCATATACGGCTGCGACGTATTTTAATGAAGTGTCTATCTATCTATCAAGTTCAAGTTCTATCAGTTCTCACACGACATTATCTAGCTTGAGTTGTTTGCTTTTCTGCTTGCTTGAACACTGTGAGAGTTTAATCTCACGCAATGATCCGCTCATTTTACTTCAAACGCCAGTAATTATTGTATTTACCTTGAATTAAATAATTCTGTTTGAACTTCTGCGCGCATGAACAGTGCTTGATCGCACACGATGGTCTTATTATAACCCTCAGACGTACACCCAAACTCGCACCTCCACCGCGGTACCAATAGGGAGCTGGCTCGGAACCCCCCACCTCTAGCGTCTTTCTCTTATTCTATTTTATATGCGTTTACTTTTTTTGAAAAGATTCACCTTTTATAGATTCACCTTTAATAGATATAGGCTGTCATATCGTTTACAAGAATATGTTAATATTACGGGATACATACGTACGTAAGTAGCGCTATTGGGGCCAGTAACGTCATTTAGATTTTAAGCTTGGCTACGAAATACTGCTTCGAAATACTAAGATGAAAAAAAAAAAAAAAAGGAAAATAAAATAAAATAAAACCTAAAATTGTGGTTAAATAATGTTCCAAACAGGCCGTCTATCGACCGACGCTATATCTGTTATATGTGGTTTTCACTCATTCCGTGCGAAAGCGTTTTTAAAACTAACGGTTTAAGAAATTCCTTTTTTTCAAACAGTAGGCAATAAAAAGTGTTTATATAGAGCAGCCGCCTTCTTCTCCAGTTTAACAAGGCTTTTAATTTCAGAAAAATAGGGAGTCTTTATTTAATGTTAGGGACCAGTCATAACTTAAGTTGGAGGGGGTGGAGGAGAAATTGGGGCCCTTCAATTTTTTTTGGATGGAATATGGGGGCCTTAAAATGCCAAAAGATGACCTGGGGGGGGGTCTTCAAGTTTCTTTTAAGTAGGATCCCTACTGAGCAGCATGATGTTTGAGTATTAAAGGACCTGATTTTGATTCAGTTTTACACAAAGTCCTATATTGTGTAATACTAAAACAATTTAATCAGCATTTTTACGAAAAGATTTAATGCTCAAATAGCAGGTGCATCAGTACAACATCCACTATTGTGTAACACTGAAACAACTTCATCGGCATTTTAACAAATGATCACATGCATAAAGTCACGTTATGCAATCTCACTATCCGAATCATTATTTGTAGATGAGGTTGATGTGGACTCACTGTCTGTGTCACCGTCAAGTTTTTTGCTATTAGAGCATGTATTGCTCATATAAAAAGCAGTAAGCTTTGGCTGATTATCTTCTTTCTTCCTTGAAGCGGTCCTGTCGGCCTCTCACCTTTCGATGGCTTGTCTTATCTCAATTATAACACAGTCACTGATATATCCTTGCTCTATAAGCTGTTTGAGAGGCTCTAGGTGAAATCTCTTTCTCAGTTTAGTGTGAAGTGCTTCTCTGTTGAGGTTATTACTGTCAATCACAGGAATACTGGCTTTTTGAGTGATATCTATTTCTTCATTCCCAGTAAAAAGTTTACACACCTCTTTAGCCTGCCTTGACAATACTTTCCGCTTCTTGGTCTTGTTCTTTCTTTTTTGTTCTTTCATTCTTCTCCTCCTTCTCACTTCTTCAGCCTTTGTGTAAGTATTTTGGTCATATCTTCTACGTAAGGCAAGAAGTACGGTATTGACATTGTCCAGCATGTGAAAAAGTGTTCCCTTTATTGCCTCTAAGGCTTGAAGCTTTACTTCAACATACTTTACTGTGCTCTTTCCCCCTGGAACTAAATCAAGGGAGGGAAGATAACAATTTTTCCTTTTCTCCGACAGTCTGTTTGTAATATCTTGAGAGGAATTCATCATTTCTCCAAGGCACCTATAGCTCTTTCACACCGAAAAACATCTTCAGAATTGGTATCATGTGGAATAGACTGTAACCTTTGAATGTTGTACAAATGACCACTATCTGAGTTTGCTGAATTGCTCTTAATTTCATCCAGTTTTGAAGCCAAAGAGTTTATATCACTTTCTATTTCAAATCTCCACCTTCTTTCAGCAATTAAGTAATGTTGGAATCGTTCCTTTGAAGAAAAATCTGTAAAACACTCAGTGTATAAAACAGATACAACATCATTATAGTTTTGAAGTCGTGCACTGTGAGGGTTTGGAATCAGGTAACTTTCAAATGGCTGAACTTCTTTAATTTGATTCGTTTTGTCTACAACCAACATCCCGCTGCCTGAGCTAGCCTTTAAATTAAAGTAGCTTGTTTACTGGAATGTGACTTTGTCTCCTAGTTAAAGTTTAATTGTACAGGAACTGACGGCTTGGAAATGACTTTAAGCTTGATTTTTGTCGAGGCAGTAAAATCGTCTGGTAAGTTTATCCATTCTTCCCACTCGTCGTCATAATGTTGCAGTATCAGATCGTTTGTAATACTTGTCTCATTTGGGTGTTATGTAAGAAAGGGGGGCCCTTAAATCTTTTGACATGATTGAAAGGGGGTACCTAAAAAACATGGGTGCTATCGAGTAGGGGTCTGGAAACAATTTGGGATAAAAAACAATTTCTCCTCCACCGCCCCCCTCCTCCCCCCACCCAACAACTTAAATTATGACCGGTCCCTTATACCGAATACTGACTACGCCAAGAGAGAATAAGCTCTTGCTTCACTTCTTCCTGTTTTTCTGAGAATTGAAGCCCCGCCTACAGGCCATAATGTCATGTCAGTAATATTTGCAACAAACTAATGAGCTAGGTTGCAAATTCCGAGCTATTTACTAAGCAGGTATCTCAATTCCTACCGAAGCTTTCTGACAGACCGTGACCTGAAAACTTCAAAGGTATTGTAAAAGATATAGAGAGTAACAACATTTTTATTGTTTAGGAGTTACTTATTATAAGACTTATAAGGGTGTGTGTAAATTTTCATAACTTTTATTAAGCGCGTCTGCCGACGTTCTGCTTGAATTGCCTTCGACACTATTACCGCAGTTAGCGAATCTTGACCTGTGTGCCATGAATCAAACTAATTATATGAAACTCAACTGAAACTTGTACTTAAAGATCCTTAAGGCTGACCTACCAATCACTTTAGATATAAAAATGCATTTGCACTTAGAAATCAAGCGACGGTAATCTCTATTTGCATTCCGTCGCATAACCGGTAACTGAACGAATCAATCCATTTACAAGGGATCATTTCAACTTAAAGCTAGCTAACCTACTATACACTCAGTCATAAGTAATTTAGTAGAAAACTGTTAGTGGGATAGAAAAAGAAATTGAGGCTCAAACCATGCAGAGATTCCGACAATGGCAAGACGAGACTTTTAGATTCAAATCATTATTCGGCATGAAACTCGTAATAGTCAGGTCTCTTAAGGTCAGGATCGTTACAGAGTTGACAAAAGCATCAAACTTTGCACAGCGATAGCTTATTGCAGTACCATGAATATTAGAGGGGGTGCCCAATGCTAATATGCCACTGAAGTGTGCTAAACAGGATTTAATTATTGTAAATTTTTACCTGGTGGGGTCCCTGTGGTGTTCTGATTGAAAATTGTTATTTAACACCTAAAATCACCCAGAATGCTCTTCTCATGTTGTAAACAACAATTTCACTCGAACATCTGGAATTCCCATCCATTATTAGCTTATTGATTGTATAATTAAGTTAATTATTAATGAGCCCTTAAAGCAAGTCCACAGTCCGCCCACATTTTCATAAGTCATTTCTGAGATGGCCTTGTCTTTGCTTCATAACTTGCAAGTACTCAGCTTATGGGGTTCCCTTCTCCTTTCCTAATGTATTTCAATTAGAGGAAGCCTTATTGTATGGCTTAAGCCTTATTTATCAAGTATTACTTGTCATTGCATGTCACTTTAGGCTAAAGAAAGCGTATGGCATAGCGATTCAAACACAAAATTTCAGAAAAAAGAAATTGTCAAAGAGTCTGTTGTATCACATATCATCAGGGATTTAATGACAGCTGTTCATGAAGAGCAAATAACGAAATGACAGAACCCAAAATAGTTCTTTCCTAAGGAGGTAATTATTTTTTCAGCTTAACATTGGCCTTTCAGTCTCTCTTTATCTGCTGGACGCACGTGCATGTTTTGACAGAGTAGCTAGCATCCTGGCACAAGTCATATTATTTACAATTCCCGCAGTTTGTCTAAGCTTTACAAAGCAAAAACAAACAAAAAAGAATCTGGTCTCATAGACGAAAAAACAGAAACTAGGTAGCCCAAGCTTCAATAAAAAACAGCACCGTTTATCATGAAGCCTCTACATTTGGTACTGAATCATTCATGTCCAAAAATAATAACAGCTTATCGAGTCGTAAAAGTGAGACTCAATTGGTACAAGATTGACTCAAATGATAAATGGGGAATGGTTTAACTGCTGAAACTGTAGAAAGGGGGCCTGGCCATCTTTTAGGGCCTGTTTACATGGACGAGGGGGACCACAGGTAGGCATGGTAACCCACTTAGGTGTGGTAACCCGCCTGTCCATATAATCTCTCATTTTGATTTGATCACGTTTACATGATAGGTGGGGTGACCCTTGAAGGTGGGTAGCCCGGTCTGCCACACCGGGTAACCCTCTCAGCTGAGGTCAAATTTTGCCATGTCAACGTTTCAAGGAGAGGTAACCCAGGCTAGTCGGGGTCGGATTCGTGATACATCAAATTCGCGCAAAATTCACTTTGGCGCCGGGTAGCCTGAATTTCATCCGATTACTTCGAGTCGTCATTACTCCCTCAGTAACGTCTGAATCGACTAGCTGTTAATGCTGTCCAGTGACGTCACTACTCCTTGACCTTTGCTTTAATTCATGCAAAAAGTAAAACACTATTTTCAAGAGGCCAACCGAGAAATATCGTTTGGAAATGTCTGCATGTTACAGAACTGCTTTATTTTTTTCGATTGTAATTCATTAACGTTCAAACTATCAAATGCATGCAGTACACCCTGAACCGGTTGTACTAAATTCTATAATCAAAACGCAATGAAATAAACACACACACGGAACACTTAGTTCAAAACACAATGATTTGCTTTAATTGAAAAGAAGCTATTTGGTCCTTAACGAAGAAAAAAAAAAAAACAAGGAGAGAAGAAAGAAAAGCTAACAGAATCATTACACTTGACGGTAAAAATAGCAAGAAGGTCGATTTATGACATTGATCTCAGAAAACTTCGCGTAAACAAAATCACCGGCCGCCGAAACCACAAAGCGGCTATAAATGCAAAAACCTACCGACTCTCCGCAATGATTCTTCATTCGCAGTTCAATTTAGCATTTCAGTTTTTCGAAGACTTGGCGATTTTGCTGTTTAAGATAAAGATTAAGCTTATCGAAATGTTTGAACAAAACGAAAGAATGCCAGGGATGCGATCCGCTGAATATCAAGCGACAATCCCGCTAAAATTTTTCATAATTATACATAATTATGCGAATGTTTAGACAATCAACCAATCAAAATCACTACCCGGTTCTCGGGTAGTGAGTGACGTCACTGGACGGCATTAACGGCCGGTCGATTCAGACGTTGTTGAGAGGAGAAACGACTCGAAGCAATCGGATGAATTTCAGGCTAGGCGCCGGGTGGCTTCACATAATTATTAAAAGCAACGATAGAAAGCCACAACACTGAAGGTTGCAGCAACAGCAGGCAAGGTTTGCCATCACTTGCCTAGTTACGTGCTTAGCGACGATTCAGTAATCTTGAGAAAGTGCACCCCAGGATGGCGGGGACAAGGCCACAATTATTGTTGACCCTTGCTTTTTTTGGTATTTTCTGTAATTTTCAACAGCATTATTTTGTGAAAAGTTGGTAATTGAATTGCTCTTGAGGAATTCATGATCGTAAGATTTCGTAACCGCGGGGTATTCGCCAAATTACATCAAACAAATTACATTTATTTTCATAAATGATGCATCATTGGTTGGCTAAAACAGGCCTTGTTCCAGTAACTTTCAGCTCTTCTGAAGTTAGTTTGTTTGTAAATTGTAACACACGCGACGACCTTCCTTTTTTTTAAAAGATCGTATAGACCTACTTTAACACTCTGGTGCGAGGGCTCTGAAGTGAATGAGCTCCCTACAGGTGTTTAGGCATGCAGGCATACACGTCTTTTTAAATGCAATTTTGCAAAAAATAAAGAGTGTTAAAAATTCCTGGAGAGAAATGTTTTACAACCTCGTGCCCAGGGCTTAATAAAAAGGTAGAAAAAGGTAAAGCGACCATATTTTACGTCAATAACTCGTGACAGTAATAATAACTGATAAACTTGAGGTTGGCGGTGCGCTCCTTTTACCCCCCCCCCTCTCTCCATTAATGCTGCGTTTCAAGGGTATTTAAAGCTAGTCAAAGCTACACAGAAAGGAGAGAAGTTGAAATATGGATGTGTTGATACCAGGGATCGAACTCGAGACCTCACGCACCGAAGGCTGCGCACTAACCAACTGTGCCACCCTTGCTCCTCCTTTTCCCTCGGACGACGAGGTTGACATGTTTTAATCATTATCTCAAGGACAGGGCTACCAACAAAGCAAATTATAATCTAATCTTAGTTTTACAATTACAAAGTGGGCGCATTGTCAATTACGGTTCATGAAGTCGTTCATGTGGCATGTCAAAATTTAACGGTTCTGTCGTTTAGGAAGTGATACATTTGGGTTTTATGTTATTGTATGACATCTTTGATAGTTGGCTTTGTGATCTGTTTAAATTGACATGTAATGATATTATCACTGGCAAGTCTTAGCAGTGACACTGACGGCCGCACAGTGAACATGGCCACACTTACCATGTGGAGACTGGGAACTAGTCAGCATTATGTACATGTAAAACTATTTTGAACAGTGTAATTACAACTAAGCATTACCAAATTAAAAACTTAAAGTTTGAAACAAATGTTTTTTAGCCAAATCAAACAAGAAGAGTACTCGCACAGGGCACCCAATTTGCTGTTATAGGTGAAAGTTAACCCCCCCTTTTATCTGTAATTAGGACCATTTGTAACGGGCACCCCCTCCAGTATTAATCGGCAGGTGCTAAGGAAGCTCTGTGCCAAATTTGACACTTTTGTCACGTCTGTAACGATCCGGCCTATATTTTGCACTAAGAGACCTGACTATAAGGGCAGGGTAATTATTAGTGCAGAATGTCTCAACAGAGATCGTTACTAAGCCATAAAGCACAACTGGCAGCTCTCAGAAGTGCTTTTTTGCGTTAAGTACGTCGGGTAGTCTACTACACGCCGTTTTTAGTGTCGTGACGACACTAAAAACGGCTGTGTAGCAGACTAGTACGGTGGCCCACATCTGTCACGGCAAAACCAAAAACCTCACGGCAAAAACAAAATACCTCACGGCAAAACCGAAAACCTCACGGCAAAAACAAAAACCTCACGGCAAAACCAAAAAGCTCACGG